CTTTTAGCTAAAGATAGTAGCTATCGCACTATTGCTTTTTGTATTTTTTCTCAGATTTTGACTACTTCTAATCTTATGTCTCCTTATCCTGTCTATTTCAGTATTAACCCCTCTTCTGTTTTTGTGTCTTGTGTCCTGTTGTGTCTTCTCTTCGCTTTCAACCAGTGAGCTAAATTAAGTAGCTATGACTCAAAGTGACTCACACCTCAATCACTTACACATGCGGGCACACACATGCGGACACACACACACATGCGGACACACACACACATGGAGACACACACACACACACACACACACACACACACACACAGACACACAAACAGACACACATAAAAACACAAGCAAAGGCTTAAAGGTGTCCCCAAGCAAAGGTAGCAGCTGTTCCCAGCATCGCGTTGCGAGCTTTAGATGAGAAATATTTTGAAGAGGTGCCTCTGGAGATAGGACAACACAACACACACACACACACACACACACACATACACACACACACACACATACACACACACACACACACACATACACACACACACACACACACATACACACACACACACATACACAACACACACACACACACACACACACACACACACACACACACACACACACACACACACAGTTCATTTTGGCTGGGAGTACACCTATTGAATGGCCGACCAAGCTCTTGCCTCTCTCAAACACACACACAAAAAAACATGCACTCCCCCCAACTCGAGACGATTTGAATGTCCAGAGCTGCTCTTTGTTTTGTTTTGTTAAAATGTCATGATATTTCAGCCAAATGCTACACATGTGCGAAGCAAAGAAAAACTGCAGTTGTTAATTATCTGTGTCCTTTCTGTGTTCATGTCTATCTATGGATCCTGACCTTCTAAACCTCTCGCTGTGTCTAAGCCTCTTTCTCTCAGGCGGAGGCTCTGGCCTTTCTCCACAGTCCTTATCTCTGTTGTTCTTATGCAACCAGCACATAAATAGAAAATAGATGTGTCACTCAATTACTGTATTTATGCTGGAAATGGTCTACAAGCTTGGGCCGAGGTTTATACCGGAGCCCACACAGGGTTTCAAGCCTTCTTCCATTAACTTTATTTTTACTGCTGTATCAAAACACTGTGACTCATTCATCTCAGCTGCACCTGTGGATAATGTGCTGGGCTTTTTTGTTCTTATTTTTAGTGTCTGTTTAGCAAAAATCAATAGATCTGTATCACACGCCTTTCCAAAATAGAAACCGACACGTGTTCAAGAAGCCCGAACAAGTGTGCCAAAACATGTAGGATGCAAAGTGAGGAAGGAAGAAAGATTATTTTGGTTTTTTTTCCAAGAGGGAAGCAGGTTTTGCTTTCTGTTTTTCCTTTCTTTACATATAAAGTTGTACACAAAGCAGCGGGTTTGTGACAGGATAAGAAGCAGGGACCTTTAAGGTTTGAACATCCAGCTGTGTGGTGTGTTTTTGTTGTTTTAGCTGCAGCTGGAGTTAAATCGGTCCCAATCCTCCATCTCTTCCTGGTCAATGCGCTGTTTGCCACATACAGGTGGTTCCTGCTCTCTAGCCTGTATTATACCAATGTCATAGCTCGAGAGTTAAGTGGTTGTTTTTGTAGAGGAAAAGGGCAGCAAATATCTTAAATGGCAAAACAAATGTATTTAGTTGAATGAGCATCACGCAACATTTACATAATACATCCTTGTATAGAAAACACACACAGCTAGTAACCTTACAGGGGTTAGTTGAAAGTTGATTGTTTTGGTCGTCATTGGTTACTGTATTATTTTACCCGTCAACATGAATTCTGTGCAGCGACGTTGTGAGTCTCAGCTCCACCATAGTGTCAAAGAGAGAAAGCAACATAGTGAAAAGGTTAGAAAGAACTGGACCCAAAATACGCTTCTTATTCCTCAATTGTTTATTTAAACTGCATGCACAGATATGGTACTCTTAAGTGGAACCAGGAAGTAGCTCGGATATATCTAAAAGGATTGTGTGTTATCACTTAAATGTAGGTTAAAACAGCTTTAACTATAATAATAATAAGTAAACTGTTGATACAGCCATACCAGTTTGTTCCCAAATCTTTAAGAAAAGTAGGAGTAAATCATTAAAATGTCCCTTTAATTAATAAAACAGACTGTGGCGTTCCTCACGTACAATAGTTCCCAAATACCAACAACCTTACCTGTATACAGTTTAGGATTATTTTAGTTTTTAACTATAATTTACTGTTAGTATTGGACATTTCCCTTGAAATCTGTCCTAATGCTCAGTAACGTTAAATCCCTGAGAAATGTTGAAATAAGAGCTAAATACAAACATTCGGTTGACTGCTAGTTTAGCCTAGTTTAGCACTTAAAATACTTTTCCAGCCCAAAAGACAAGACGCTAATCCTCTCAGCGTGGGATCCAGGCTCATTAAAACACACCACCTCTCTCGTCATGAGGGGACCCGTCATCGGCTGAACTGTGACCCATTTTGGGTGTGACCCCTCCGTCTAAGAAACCAGGCTGCAGAGTCTATTATTCAACACCCTGGGAACTAAGACTAAACCCAGCTCTCCTCTCATGTGCGAGCCAAGGGGAGTTTGAATCAGCAGCTGAATAAAAGCCCTTATGTGTTCCTTCAACCTTAAAATGGACCAAACTCTCTCCAGCCGAGTTACACTGCATTTCAATGTGTGAGTGTGTGTATGTGTGTGTATGTGTGTGTTTGTGTGTGTATAGAGGTTAGAGGGTGGGAGGGGTTCAGGATACAGACGAGGGAGTATGTCCGGCAGTTTGAACAATCACACCCAAACTTCCACTTCACCTCAATCAGCCACAGGACATTTCCCTACTTTAACCTCTTGTTCCCTTTTACTCCCCCCCTCCCTCTCCCTCTCTCTCTGTCCCACATTTTCTCTCTCTTCTGTCCCTCTCTGGAGGTCATTTATTCCAAAACTGCAGTCACTACTATAACTAAGTAGAGTCCTTGCATCCTTTTAAAAACATTTTAAAACCCCTGACTGTACTTTGTTAGTGTTGCAGTTGCAGTTATATACTCAATACTTACTTACTTACATTCATCATGCTCAGACCATCCTTACCAAAAATGTAGATTCAGGCCGTCTTAACATAAAGAAAAAAACGCAAAAAGGCCCTATCTCGAGCCAGAGTTGGGATTGTCCATCCTGAGCTACTGTAGAAACATGGCAGTGCAGCGAGTCTTTAGATGAAGGGGAGTATACAGTAAAAAAAAGATGATTAAGAATATCATATACCATTTCTGCTAATATGTCTCCCTAACTCCTAGACACTGGCCTTTTACATTACATTACATTTAGCTGACGCTTTTATCCAAAGCGACTTACAATTACCAATTACAGGGACATTCTCCCTGGAGTAACTAAGGACTAATAGCGCATTTCCACTACACGGCCTCGCTCGGCCCCGCTCGGTATGGCTGGGCCTCGTTAGGACTGGCTCACTTTATGGCGCATTTCCATTACAGTTTAGGAACTGGGGTAGTATCTATAGTAACGCAGTGTAGGCGGAGCCGTGACGTGATCTTCAGAGAACCCCAGAAAAACAACACAGCCGTTAGCTGTTAGCACTCAGAGCTCACAGCTCCTCATATATGTTCAGAAACTAGACAAAAGTTAAACAAGTACACACCACAGACTGCCTGTGTCATGGTGAATACAGTCGCTGCTTTATTTATGTCTGTATAGGCCGTTGTTGTGAGTGTGGACGGTCGGAGCATATACTGCGTTAGCTTAGCCAATCTCCATTTAGAACACACGCATTTTAAAAGGTTTTTCGCCTGCCGTCTGTCTGCAGACTTGACAAAGCATTAATTCATGGTTTTTACTAACCGGTATCAGTATGTTGTTACTTCGGCATCATTTTGAAACGTGTATTACAATTAAATCACGGTCAAATATGTCCATCTTGTTGTAGTTATAGCCCCCTTGCCAGCGATGCTCTCTCTAGTTTAGCATACTCAGCCCGACTCAGCCTCGTTGTCTCTGGCCCTAGACCCGCGATTTTATGAGGCCAGAAAAACTGTGAATTAGGACCCGCCGGCCGGTACTAGGCCAAGTGGAAACGCAACCAAAGACGGGCCGCTGACGTCACAGCCCTCTTAAACCGTGCTCCGCGCTGTAGTGGAAACGCGCCATAAGTGCCTTACTCAAGGGCACACTAGTGGTGGTGTTCCTGGCGGGATTTGAACTCACAACCTTCCGATCTTCAGCCCACCTCACTATCCATTAGAGTAGACCACCACTATCCCCTATTTTATGTAGCTGAATGCTCGATTAAAGCCACTTCTACTACCACTATTTATACTGCTATCACTACTGCTTTCGGCCTGCACACTGCAGATGTATTTTTGTGTTTATAGTGTGGCAATTTAGTTAGCACCATTAGATAAGAAAAGGTTGATCTAGTGTTGAGTTACACTGTAAATACTATGCCTTACTCATTTTAGAAAGACAAAGGTTACTATGAGGCCAACACTTCTCCTGTGAAGAACCCATCATGAGGATGTTCTGTATATATGCTTTGAACCTCTTTTCTCCTTTAAAGGGTGATCTGTGACAAATCATCTAATAATAACTCCACGTTAGCCTTTTGACCTGTGAAACGATAAGTAACAGACATCAGAAGACAGCACTCTTTCAGCATCGCTGTGACAAAGTGGTCTAAGTATCTTGCCATGTAATTGATACATCCCTTGTTCAAAAACAAGACAATCGGCAGGACTTTCAAGAAACTGCTCTCTGGCTTTTCATGTGTTATGACACCTCCCCCTCGTGTTCATGTTTGGTACAACAGCCAAGAGGAGTATGAGAGGGTGGAGCTCCACCTCACTGCTGAAAGGCACAGGTACATATTTCTTTAAAGTCTCTAAAGCCACAGCCAGGAAAGCATGTCGAGGCTATAGGTGTTCAATAGTCAAGCAGCCAGATGTTGCTGTTCACTAAAGGTAACTTAGATCATACGGGCATTACTGACAATGAGGAGTTTTGTGGCCGGTCTGCTCCTGCTGATTTCTGCAGGACACGTTTATGGAGGTAAGGCACTTTGCAGATGGGACACCTTTTTTTCCTAACTGTGATGCAAAAGGTAAAACTCAGCATGATTATGCTATAACATGATGGTTGAATGACTTGCAAAATAGTGTTCCTCATAAAACCATGAAAATAAGGCTTCAGGAATCTCATTCTCTTTTAGATACAAATTATTGTTCATGCAGTATTATATGTATGCTTTTGATGAGGTTAAATTGTGTCTATATCAGTGGGCAGCTTAATGTTAAAGCCCTCAGATACAGTTCAAAGTTTGGTTTATGAGATAGTTTACTATAGTGAGGTAATTTGCTCAAAATAACAAAGCAGTGTCATCTTTATCATGTTGTTCCTCATTCTTCATTTCAATATACATGGCAAGTCAGTTTTCATTTAACTCGAAGTGTGTTTCTTAATCCACACACTTATGTAGCAGTCTCACTAAATCAAATCTAAAGAATTGCCATTGACATTCCTAATTTAACACAAGTTGCTGCATGTGGAGCATTGCAGGGCTGTCAGCATTGCTTCAGAGAGTCCTACATGTCTTCATCCCTACACTTACTCATGACAGCGCATTACCTGCATTCACATTTAAGGGAGATTATTATTAATCCAATGTTAACTGGTGTCATAGAGGCAGATTAGGGAGGGATGGACAGGCGCTAGTTATACTGACCGGGTTTATAGGCTTTACGCTGAGCGGCATGCTAGTACTTCCCTCTGGGACAAGCCCTATAAGACATATTTTAATAATAAATTAAACATAAACATTTGTTGCAGGCAGTGCAAACTGCACATGGCAGCTTTTTGAGTTATTCATCAATCAAATGTTTCAGCTTCCTTTTTCTTCCCCTAAAGACTTGAGATAATTATATTCAGATAATTGTAAGAATCTGATGAATGAGACACTCACAGACACAATTCTATGTTGTGTTCAGTCGCACTGCCACTCTATACTGCTGTACTATTTTGAGAACTTTAAAGAGTTTTTAGAGTCAGATACACACATACACTCTTTGACCTCCATTTGCTGTGTAAACTTGTTTCCATTTTAACTGAGTGCACCAATACCGATGTAGGTCAAATCGGATGAAATCCAGAACGCTGTTCCACTGCTTTTTCCTTCACACATGTGAGTGGTTGGTTCACTTGCCTCACTCTTAAATGCCAGCATACTGTAATTACATACAGAAACTGTTTTAAAACACTACATGAAAAAGTGGTGATAAGTTGTAGCTATGAGTAAAGGGCTTTAGAAAATGTGTGTAAATATATGACTCGAGGCATGACAATGGATAAACGGTTGGTTGGTGAGCTCATTTCATCCAGACTAATGCATCTCACTTGTTATTCAGGGTTCATGTTTCTTTTTCCTCTTTCTCTGACTATTTCATATACCTTTCACCAACTAATGACATTGTTTTTGCTTTAACAGCAGTAATGGAAGAATAGTTGGACAACTACATTTCCAACCTATATCATCTGGGTCAACACTGATGTCTAATTAGCATTAGACCATTTCAGGATGACCCGCTCCAGAATGCATTAGTTGTCATTAATTGAATTTGGATAGCAGTTTTAAAGTGCAGTGTAGCAAGCCAGTCAATACAGATACATTATGTGCATTCGCTGGGATAATGGCTTTGGTCACCAAATGTTCATTTAAATATTTTGGATGTTTTGGTTTACAGATATACCTAAGAATGTAATTTAAAAAAACAAAAAGATGCCAGTTGAGATGACTGACTGGAACAGCTTTTTCGGAGAAAATTGGAACCTTGATGGCAAACTACTTCTCACATGTCTTTTCGTTCATTGCGGTAGTGTCGTTCTACGGTGATGGCTATGTCCACCTGCGGACAGTGGAGACATCCATTCAGACGTTTCTTCATGTACGATTTCGAACCACCGATCTGGCCGGGCTGCTGTTTTTGGCAGCTGGACGCAAAGACTTCCTACTGCTGGAGCTGATCTCTGGCCGCCTGCAGGTAGGTTTAATAATTTTAGGATAGTAGCATCATAGATGTCTAACAACAAGCAAGATGTGTGTATTCTTCATTTGCAAGAAAACAAGTGTTATGACAGTTTTCAGGGAAAAAACATTTGTATTTCAGCATGAATACAAATTAGTCAAACTAAAAGGTGTCCAGAGGCTGTCACCTTCATAACCTCACACCTTAACAACAGGAGGAAATATTTGCCCCTTGGGCAACTTTGGCTCATATAAGTTGGCATTTACTATCCTTTGGAGAGGCAGAGAGAGGCCTGAAAACACACAGCTTGGTGTCAGATTGCTGCAAGAAAGAAAAGAATAACCCCCTGGCAATTTCAGAACAAGTTCCTTCACGACCAACGTCAAGTGAGAAGACCGCAATGGTTTATTGAAAACTCTAAGTGCATTGAAAAGGAGCTGTTTATGAAAGAGTTTGGTTGCATTTATGTGGAAAAGCCTTTGATCTACAGTTAACAACATGTTGATTCTCACCATGTTGTGGTTTTCTTTGATGTGTTCGCAGCTCTTTGTCTTAATAATTCAAGTCTGTATTGTAAAATTAAATTAAAAGACTTGCATTTAATTTGTCTTGGTTATCACTTTTAATTCTTTTTTTCCTTACTCTATCTTTCACTCCCTCCCCCATCATCCCTCAGGTACGTCTGGACCTGGGCTCTGGTGAGCGTTCAATTTGCTTAGAAAAGGGCATGTATCTCAGCGACATGGCGTGGCACTCTGTAGAGCTGACCCACAACGGGCATTTTGTGAACTTGACAGTTGACCAAAACTCTCATGCCAGCCTCCATATGCCAGGCCCAGATATCGAGCTCAGTGTTGAGGATGGGCTTTTTGTTGGCGGGGCAGCCGAACTGAACCACCCATACCTTCTCAACAACTCCACTGGGTTTAAAGGTTGCATAGACAAAGTTGTGTTCAATGAACATAACCTACTTTCCACCCTAAAGCCTTCTTCTGGGTATAAGAGCATCCATAAGGTATCACAGGGCTGTAGTGCACAGTTTTCTGTAATAGAAGATTCTCTCAGCTTTTTCAGCTCCAAAGCTTTTATATCTCTGCCACCCTGGGAGGGGCCACATGAGCTGTTGTTTGAGTGTGAATTGTCCCCCTCTGCCACAGAAGAATATGGCGTTGTCCTGTATAGCTCTGCCAAGAAGGGAGGGTTTGTTGCAATTGAGATTAGAGATGGTAACATGGTAGCAACGGTCGGAAATGGAGATGGGAGTAAGCTTGAGTTGCGTTCTCTAACACATGTTAACCGCAACCGCACCTGGTACCCTGTACAGCTGCATCTGTTGCCCAGCAGCGTCCAGCTGAAGGTGGGAGAGGAGTTGGTCAAGGTCAACCTCAGTCTGGAGCTCCAGGTCATCCAGCTCAGAGGGCCTCTCTTTCTGGGAGGGCTGGACAAAGAAGCCCGGGAAGAAGCAAGGCAAGCTGGGCTGATGTCCGCAGTGCCTGGGGGTCAACTAGCTGGGCAAGCAAGCTCCTTTAGAGGCTGCCTCAGAGAAATTAGGGTGAACACTCAAATAATGGGCCTGCTTAATGCTGCAGTGACCAAAGACGTTTCTCTGGGCTGTGAGACAGGGCCAGATCCAGAAGCATTGACCACCACCCACCAAACAGATCGTCCCCAATTTGATGTTACAACCCCACAATCAATAACCAACAACAAGAAGAACCAGAACTTTCTGTCGCTGAGAAAGCTAGAAGTTGTGGAGGGAGACCGGGCACCACTGGAACCCAAACATATAAAGGTAGGACTGATTGTCTCCTGCTGATCTGTTGATCTAGTTTTCACTAAGACAAAATTACCAATATAAAGTCAGTTCCTATTTGCTCTCCGTTCTAGGTTAATCTGGATTTTCAAAAATTGGGCATTCATCCATCCCAGATGATGTTTCTTATTGAGAGGCAGCCTGTCCACGGCCAACTGCAACTGGACTTCAGTCCTGACCCCGATGAGATGCTGGACAAAGGGCAGGCAAGGACTATCACGACAGGAGCAGAGGAGGTTGATCGGACTTTTAATATGCTGGACCTGTGGCAGGGCCGAGTGATGTACGTTCACGGTGGGTCAGAGGACCAGCATGACTTCTTCATTTTTTCAGTCTTCTCCAGCAACAAGAAGGCGCTTCCTGTGTTTCTAAAGGGAAACCGCCTGTATCGGTTTGACATCAGCATCAGTCCTGTTAATGATGCGCCTGTGCTCAGCCTACCGGCGGGGAACCTTTTTACTGTGCTGGAAAGGTCCAAACGACAGGTATGTAGAGCAGAACGCCCGGATGCTCTGTAGTGTTATTGTTACAAAATGAAAATCAATATTTCCACAATGTCTCCAGCTAACACTAGATGTGCTGAGGGTGTCGGACCCTGACAGCAGTCCTGAAGACCTGGTGTTCAGCTCCCTGGGAAACCTCAACACTGAGGTTGGACACCTTGAGCATCAGGATAACCCCGGCAGGTCTGTGCTATGGCTTCTGATACACATCAATGGATGATAGATTTCAATATTGACTTTCAATAATGATTCAAATCAGGGTTATGGAACAAAACATGGAATTTAACAGGAATGCATCTATCTTTCAGGGCAGTTAACTTGTTCTCCTTGAATGATCTAAAGGAGGGTAGGATCTTCTTTGTCCACACTGGGGTCCCCACATCCCGTCTGGCATTCAGGGTCAGCGACGGGCTGCACGTAAGTTATGTACTGGCTTGCCCAAGATGCAATAAACCCATAATCTATCAAAACAAAAAGTATGTATGTGTGTTTGTATCCATGAGTGGCTTAAGGAATGACTATCCAGTAGCATTTCTCAACATCTACTGGATAGTCTCAATATCTTTACTGATTCCCTCACATTTCCTCTAGCATCAACACTAGGTTGGCATTTGTGGGTTACATTACATTTTCATTTAGCTGACACTTTAATAGAGAGCCACTAACAATCAAGCTGGAATGTCATGACAACAATTAATGCCGTAAAATGTGGTACATTCACAGTTATCTAAGATGAATTGTTATCACTTAAGTGATCCACTAACTTTCCATAAATTGCAATCAATTGTTTGCCAAACTAATGACATTACCATACTGGTGTTTCTTTATTCCTTCCACAGTTGAGCAACACAGTAGTTTTGAGGATTATGGCAGTGCCACTTGAACACAAACTGGTGAATAACACCGGACTGGAGGTGAACCAAGGCGGTGCTTCTATCATCACAACCAATCACCTTGCAGTACAACTTAATGTGGATAATCAGGGAATAGAAATTCGCTATGACGTCATTGAGTTGCCACAATATGGTGAGCTCCAAAGGCTGCACTCAAGTGGCGACTGGAAACCGATAACTTCCTTCTCTCAGAAGCTTCTAAAGAAAGAACGGATCCAATACCTCAACACTTACCATGGTCTTCAGACACAGAGCAACGTTACTGATTACTTCAGGTTTAAAATCAGCATCAGGTCCTTAGCTACCACAGAGGTTATTTTCCTCATCAAGGTACGGTGGATCCAATTTAAGGTCACACGCAGTAAGATGGAGATCAACGGTGTTCAGACTTCTGTTGTAACTCCTGAGGACCTCTATGTGATTTCTAAGGGTGTTAAACTCAATGAGAGCGACCTCTACTTTAAACTCCTCACAGTACCAAAGAAAGGGCAGCTATTCCTCGACAACAAAGCTCTACAAAAAAACTCAACCTTCAGCCAAAAGAATATCACAGATGGCTTGGTGAAGTATGAGCTCTTCAACACGCTGCAGGATGACACACGAGACACGTTAAGTTTTCAGCTGTTTTCAACACATGCCAACTCAATAGCTTACGACTTCAGAATCAACATCAATGCAGAGTCAAATGCCATCACTGTTTTAAACAAAGGCCTTTCAACCCTGGAAGGAGGCAGTAAAGTAATCAGCAATGATATGCTGTTCACTCACACGGCAAGTAACCGTGAGGTTCAGTACAGCATCACTGTGAGCCCAAGGCACGGCCAGATAAGAAGGATCAACCTTTCAAACTCAAGTTCCATAAACGACAACATTGTGACATTCACAAATCAGGATATCATTGAGGAGAGGATCATGTACGTTCACGACGACAGCGAGACTAAGCAGGATTCTTTCACTTTTAACATTATGGTTTACAAACCGCACAAACGGACCAATAAGAAGGAGGACAGAATCAGAGCAGAACACACCTTCAATATCTCTGTGAATCTTGTCAACGATCAGAGACCTTTCAGGGTTGTCGATAAAGTTTTCCATGTAGCCCGCGATGGGCAGAGGTTGGTGATGTTGAATGACCTCCGTTTCCGGGACGATGACTCAGACTTTGAGGACAGTTGGTTGGTGTACACGAGGAGGGGGATTCCAATGGGAGACCTGGTGCTAGCAAGTGATACCAGTCACAAGCTCTACGAGTTCACACAACAGGACATCGAGCAGGTTAGCACACTTTGCAATTTATCTAACATAAATGTGGTCATCTGGGTTGTAGAATATTTGGAATCACAAAGTCAGAGGTTAGTCTTCAGATGTTTTTGTCAAGGTAAATACCCTCCTGTGTCTCACTTAATATAGCTTAGAAGCATCTAGAATTTTACCTCTAGATATTCTATGTTTTTTGTTTGCTAATGTTTTTTTCTTTGCTATCGTTTCCTCTTCTTTTCTCTCCTCACAGAAAAAAGTGTTGTTTGTCCACAGAGGAGTGAGTTTTGGGCGTTTTGTGCTCTTCGTATCGGATGGGAAACATTATGTTTCAACACTGCTGGAGGTGATTCTACGTTTTTCGCACATTATGGATTTGATGTTTTTCTTTATTTATACTTTTCAGTGATGTTGGGCAATTAAACTCTTAGATATTGATAGAATTAGTAGTATTGTGAAAATTGTGATGGTTTCCTTTGGCCAGTAAATTAGAGCTCATTCTACGAATGCTTTGCTGGTAATTAAATATCAGCATTTCTGGGTTAAGTAATGATATTTGCAATGTGATGGCTGACTGCTGTTGTAAGACTTTAGTTTCTGACTGTGTTGTGTAGGTGATGGCGCAGGATCCTTACATTCATGTCGAGAACAACACAGGACTCATTGTCCAGCGAGGCGGGATCAAGATCTTAACCTCCGCTAATCTCAGCATCTTTAGCAACATGGACATCCGAGACCCACAGGAAGTTGTATTTGAGGTCTTCCTTCCCCCTAAACACGGAAGTCTCTGCTTTACGGATGGAGATTGTGAGACCGTAACAGAAGCAGATGCACTTACAGCATTCACCCAGCAAGATTTGGTGGCAGGGCGACTAGCGTATCGCCATGGTGGCAGCCATGAGTTGTCAGATGGGTTCAACGTGACAGTAAAAGCAAGGGAAAATGACCCAGAGAGGCGACTGCACAGAAAGACGAGGGAGATACGTCTGGACATCGGAGTGAAGGTAAAAGTCTACCTGGAGGGGCACCAGAGGTCACCAACTGTCATAAGTAACCGTCCAGTGGTGGTGGCAGAGGGACAGAATGTCTCTATTAGCAAGGAGCACCTAGAGGTAAGCCAATAAAAATAAGAAGACGACTCGTGGAAAACTTGGTGGTCACTTTCCAGCCTGTATTTGTTTCTTATTTTGCAAACTAAGTTACTTGAAAATCTAGGAATATATTCAATAACTGTTTTATTGCCTGTCAATGTAATGCCTTTGTGGGAATTTAATGTATGTAACAGACTGCTCACCTGGTCATATATCTTACAAGGTACAGTAGACCTTCGAAGTAGACAGATTCCTACTACTTATTTGGTCGAATAGTAAGATATAAAGATCTGGACCCAGGCAAGAAAATGACACTTTTACAATTCCAGCTACATCATAGGATTTTCCATTTCTATACAGATAAACTGATCTTTGTATATAAGAAGTTCAATGTAATGTTATAACTATGTTCCGTTTTGTGTAAACAGGTGGTTCATGAGGACAGCCAGCCCTCAGAGATAGTATTTACTGTCCAATATCCTCCCACCTGGGGCTTTCTTCAGCGTTATCCCTCCGACGACCACCAGGAAAACAGTGGAGAACAGCAGCACCTATATCAAGTACAGTCAACTGTAGAGTGGTGGAGTCATTGCACACAATTCTGATTCGTTTACGACTCCCCCAAAAGGAGATATGGCAGAAACTCAGGCTCTTTGCAATGCGAAAAAAAACCTGTCAACACTGAAACTCTATTTTACAAAAGCTCAATTTTCAGTTATCCATAGTGCCATAGGTATGGTATGGACGAAACAGCAAAACGCATAGAAATAATATAACTGTACATATAGGCGTGTTCTTGGTCTGAGACTTTCAGAACTCCTAATAAATATAAACTTTCCTGAAAACAATGTATACAAACTTTAGATTTACAAAATTAAAGCAAACTGGCCCTCAAAAGTTGCACAAGTTGTACACAGGACCAGCAACTTGATAACTTGTTCTGCTCTGTTCCTCCATGCAGAACATCAGAGAACAGCCAACAAATGTATTCAGCCAGGCGGACCTTAACCAGGGATTGATCCTCTACCATCAGCAGGCTGCAGGACACACCAACGACTCCATTCTGCTAGAGGCAACCAACGGGGTCACAAAGGTCGGACCTATCAGGCTGGAGATCGACATCATCCCTATCCTGCTCCCTCTACAGGTACTGAATACATGTCTAGATGTTAGATGACCTTGAAAACAATTATAATAATTCATAAAAAGAGAAAGAAATCCATCTTCCCAAACACAGGATTACCTAAAAGAGGTATCAATTGATCATGTAGCTAACTTCTTTAACCAGTCAATCAAAACTTTATCGGTATCTAGGTGTCTTACTTAACCCTTGATGAGGGGTCGTCCCTGTCGCTGACCTCTGACATCATCAAGGTGGCCAATCATCACTTCTCAGGGATGAACTTCCTGTATCAGCTCATCGTTCCACCGCGACATGGACACTTGGAGCACAGCCGGATCCCGGGGATGCCCATCACTGCTTTCACTCACACTGAGGTTTGGCTTAACACACATACAGACATGACACATTTTCAACTTTTTATTTGTTTTTTTGAAAGGGGTAATTAGGAAGTTTTATTCCGATGCAAGTAATTAGGTATGATCTAATAAAGGTGTGTTTACTAAGAATGCACATTTCTCAAAGCAGCAATAAATGGGAGAGTTGGGTATTTGCAGTAGATAATTGATTTGGAAACAAAAACTATTTTTGCACCAGATTAAACAGGGAAAGTTCATCCCTTATATAAAATGTTAACTTCTGTTTCCAGGTGGAACATGAGTACATCTTCTATATCCATGACGGCAGCAACACACTGAGGGACAACTTCACCATTACAGCCAATCAGACGGAAATCAGGAAGCACAGTCTGCCCTGCACCGCTCACATCTACGTCACACCTGTCGATGACGAGACTCCTGTGGTTACAACTAACAAGGGTCTGAAGGTGAGACACGTTGATTGGAAGTAGACATGGCAATCATTTTCAGCCTAAATGAGGGGGTCTCATCTGCATTGCCTTTTGTTAGTGAATATAGGCTCAATAGTATAGTACTTAAATGTGTATGAATGAACCTTTTATTGGGAAATATGTTGAACTAGACCAGTAGATTAGTTAGATAGAAACCATGCTCTTTAGTCTTTAAAAATGAACAATCTGTATGATAAAAATGAAGTTACTGTATTATTACATTACATGTCACTTGTTAGATGCTTTTATCCAAAGCGACTTACATACTCAATACTGTGGACAATCCCCACAGGAGCAATTTGGGGTGAAGTGTCTTTCCCAGGGACACAACGACATGCTGACTGCAGTGGGGTTTGAACCTGTGAGCCTCCATTGAGCCAGCAGGCTATTAGCTTAGCTTAGCATTAAGTAAATCCACAACTTGTTGATTCTACATTTCTGCTTGTGCACATACTAAACAAACTAAATATAACTGCTCACTTTAGACAACTTAGAGGGGCTGGTAGACGGATTTCTTTACCCTTTAACAAAACCTGGCTAGCTGATTGACCTTGTTTTCAGTCTTTATGCAAGAGTAAGCTATGCTAATGGCTTCTACATCTAGCTTTATTAGCATACAGACATTAGAGTGGTATTGATCGTCTCATCAAATCTTTTTTCATTGCTAAGGTCAAATGTCTTCCTTTCCTTTCAATCTTCCCTCAGGTTTGGGAGGGTTCAGTGACAGAAATAACAACAGATGATCTCAGTGCAGAGGATTCGGACACACCCGAGCCGGAGCAGCTGGAGTTCGTCGTCACACCGCCCAGCAACGGCCACCTTGCCCTGAAGAGCGCCCCCTCCAGACACATCCTGAACTTCACCCAGAATCACATTCAAACCGGACAACTGATGTTTTTGCACAGTGGCGAGTATACTTTTTCTATTCAGAGATGGCTATGTCTTCAAGAGGAATTTGTCTGTAATAAACAAAAAATGAAGTCCTCTGCTTTCTTGACATTGACTCTTTTCTTGTGTAGGTGCTTTATCAGGTGGCTTTCACTTCCAGGTAAACGACGGTGTGAATGTTGCACCTCGCCAGATCTTCAGCACAACTGCCCACTCCCTGGTCCTCACTCTGAAGAGAAATCATCCGCTGCAGGTTTCCCCAGGTACAGTTTTCAAGACCTAAACCCTTTTTTGATTTCAAGTGTTAATTAGTTTAATAGCCTCATTCCAGCTATTGTTATTGGTACAATGGGATCTGATAAGCTAAATGTTGTTATATAGAAAAGGCACTGGGTGGCATCATTATTCTAAGCATTAAGCTGCTTTTTTTTCCTGCCTACACAAACAGGTTATAATGCCTCTGTACCAAGTTAGACTGATAGGGCCACTTTCCTCTTATAAACACACACTTATAAGCAGTCTCACTTGTCAAGGTTACATACATGAAGCTGTTATTCTGATTGAATAGAACATTTAATATTGTAGTTGCTGTTTTTCCTGTTTCATGATCTTTATGTTTTTTAGTGCGTTTAGGGAAAGTTACGTACTTGTTTTTAGCGCATCTTAGACGCTTTTATGACTGTTTGAACAGGAAGCATGGTGATGTTTATTGTGTAATTTAACCAGGATAATTTACTCTCTGTTTTCAAGCTTTTTCTCTCTCTCACAATTGTTTCCCAACTTTAAAGGCTCTGTGACACCAGTATCTGAGCTAGAGCTTCAGGCCGTGACCAACGATATCAGAGACACCAGAAGAAGCCACTCGGTGGTATTTGCAGTCACTGCTCTTCCCAAACTTGGCAGCCTGGTTAGACGTATGCCCGACAACTCTACGCAAAACATTTCCACGTTCACACAAAGCATGGTAGGGAAGTTTGTGTCTTCGCAACAAAGGAAAGCTTTTGTTAACCTGTTAAATTAAATGATGCCATGTCTTAATTTTTTCACTCAGGTGAATGAAGGCGTTATCTTGTACGATCAGAACAAGCCACAGCCAGTGGGATGGTCGGCCGGGGACTCTTTCTCTTTCACCGTGTCCTCTCCTCCTGCTTTCCTTCCTCCACACACCTTCACCATCTCAATCTCCGAACAGCCCAACAAGCATCCTGAGAGCCTTTACAACACCAGACTGCTGAACAACGCAGGTACTGTGTGTGAGCAAAAATCTCTCCATCGTATTTGATATTTATAGTAACACATGGAATATAAGTTAAAATGGACCATGTGAGATGTTTGTTTCCATCATTCAGGTGCTGTGGTGGCCGAGGGAGGCAGAGTGAAGATTGATAGGTCTAAACTAGATGCCTCCAATCTCCTCTGGAAAGTCCCAGAGCCTCAACGGAAAGAAAACCACATCCTGTACCGCCTGACTTCCCTGCCGCGCCATGGAGCTCTGTCTATAAAGGGTCATAACCTCACCAGGTGCAAAATAAAAAATGTCATTACAGCAATACAGACATTGCATATATCAGAAGTAAAAAAAAAAATGATGTATTGTCTTTGAATGTGTTAAAATGACCACAGAGGCAACAGAAAATTATTCTGGTGATCGATTTTCAAAATTCGGATCATTGTTTTTTCTTTACAGGTGAAATAAAATACACTTAAAATAATTAGCCTGCCAAATATTTATTCTCATGTTGCACATTTTTTTTTTTTACCTGTTTCCCAGATGGAACGTTTTTTAAAGACCTGAGAAATAGAATCATTACAAAACCACTTTTTTCAGATTAGGTCTTAAGTTATTCAGTCATGAACACATTTAAGAGAAAAATATTTAAATCAGTTTTATTAAAGAGAAAATAATAAGCAAAATTGTTCTATTTGTCTTTCCACAGGAACCATCCTTATTTCTCCCAGGTCACCCTGAACAAGTTCGGCATCACATACGTCCACGACAACTCAGAGACGACGAGCGACAGCTTCACTCTGCGGGCCTGGGTGGCTCCTTTGCATCACTCTTCCTCTTCCTCTTCCTCCTCCTCAGATTCCTCCTCCTTTACCCCCCTCTATTCAGCCCTATCATCCTTATCTGTCAAGGAGAGAGCAGCAGTGACGGAGACGTTTAACATCACCGTGACATCTGTCAACGACCAACCGCCGGCCATCATGAGCACAGCACCGAGTGTGAAGGTCGTAGTCGGAGAGAGAGTCACGATTGGACCAGAAGATCTGCAGGTGTTTGAAGAGCATGCGTAGCTGCACAACTTTGATTCAAAATGGTTTATTTTGATCAGTTTGGAGATCATTATTTTTATAATTATTTATGAAATCGGTAATTTCTTCTTAAGGATGGGATAAGGAGATTAAAATATTAAACATCCACAGTATATCTCCAGTTCGTAAAGCTTAAAAAATCATCAAGTAACAGTGATATATGGGATGATGATATAAAGTCTATATCTTCCACAAGCTTTTATTTTTGTGAGTAATTCACTTTAGATTCTAATTCAATCCTGTGATTCTACATGTCCAGGTTGAGGATAATGACACCCCTCCAGAGAAGCTGCACTACCATGTGATCAGAGAGCCCAACAACGGCTACCTGACTCTGGGGAAAGGACTGGAGCCGGTGACCACCTTCACACAGAACGACGTCAACCACGGGCGGCTGCACTTCAAACAGCAGGTGAAGAGGCCATCCGCTGAAGACCTAAATTCTTTTTTTCAGAAGGGATGTTTTGTATTGCGATTTATGGAATTGTATAACAGCATATGATAGAACAAGTTTTTGCTTGTCCAAAAAAGTTTAGGGCGCAATAATAGAAATTTGTCAGATTTTAAAGAAGAAAAACTCTGGAAATCGTATGTTTTAGTTTTTATTTTATTATATATTTTCCTAATCTTTCAGTTTGTTGTCTTTATAGAGTGCTATGATCCTTGTTTCTTTTATCCACCTTTATCCTGTGTTCCCTCTCTCAGGGAGAACACTCAACAGGTATTTTCTACTTCAACGTAACCGGTCATCATCACCCACTCTACAAACGGCTTAGTATGGAAGTGATAAAACCCTCTGTTTACATGGTGAACAACACTGGCCTGTCATTGGTTCAAGGTAGGACTGCTGTGGTCCTGACAACCAACCAGCTTGCAGCTCACACTCACAGGCAAGCCAACATTACCTACACAGTCACCAAACACCCTCGCCATGGACGCGTCGCTATCAACGACCAGGAAGTCATGAGCTTCAACCACGAGGACCTACAGTTTGGCCGTGTTGTCTATCACATGACTGATCTCAGTGAATCAGAGGACAGCTTCCAAGTCTCGGTGTCAGCGTCATCCCACAGGGTAGAATTTGGAAATGTGACGGTGCACACGGTGAAGGTAACTGTGCTGCCTCTGGTCTACCTGAGGGAGCCCGTGAGAGTGCCCAGTGGTGTCCCTGTGAAACTGGGGAGGGGCATGATCGATGCATCGGAGCTGGCGAGAATCAGCCGAACCAACCCGGTCTTTTGGGTTCTGTCTCCGCCAAAACATGGCAAACTAGTCAAGGTAAAGCATTTCATTTAAGCTTCTGTAAATGTTTAAAAGTTGCATATATACAGTTTTTCCATTTAAGTGTCTAAAAACAACTACAACTGTAGACCTAGAGAAATCTGTGATTTCAAGGTAAAGGTTAGTTTTCAATAGTAAAGTATCCCTTTAATCATGTGTCAGCCTTGTGGTTGTCTGCCAGAAGCTGTATATTATATTTGTATATCCAAGCATATTTTTATGATACACCTTTTTGATCTTGGTCACTTTTAGCACATTTATTTGAACCAAATGCAGAATTGTAATCGTCGAACAAATAGATTTTAAGTGAAAAACAAGAGTAAACGCAGCTGGCTGTCAAACAGTGTCAGAGAAAGGCTTTATTAAGTGTTTTTTTACCGGTTTTAATCACAGGTAATGCTGACTGCAATGACACCAGTGGACGCAACCAAACTTCACCTCTTGCTAATTGTTCTGATTGAGAAGCCCTAGTGACGGAAAATTACATATCATGCATTTAAAGAGTAGTAAAAAGTCCTTCCTGTAATCATCTAACTTCCGTTCCCTCTCTTTACAATGTGTCTGTTTCTGCATGTTGCAGATAACCTATGACCCTAACCGAGCTTCAGAGGTACTGAATTCGTTCACGTTCAGAGATGTGGTGCAAGGCCGGATCGCCATCGAGGAGACTCTCAGTGACGGTGACAGCGAGCTGCGTAATAACAAGTCAGCTGGAGGCCACGCCCCCGCCACATCTCTCAGTGACTCTTTCACCTTCCTGTTGAGAGCTGGAAACGTCCAACCAGCAAAGGGCGAGCTCCACTTCACCATCTTACCCCACCACCATATGCATCATGGTCCAGGCAGTTCAAACACAGACGCTGCAGGTCACACAACTACACATCTTCCGACACATAATAAGGCTACTATAGGAAGAGCAGGTGAGCGAGGAGGTGATCGAGGGGTTTCCACAACGCTCAGCGGGGCCGGGGTGGGTTCACCTCCTCACATTTTGATGCATAAGACCCACAACAGAACACAGCATAAGTTGAGGCCTCACAGCCGCTGGGGGAACCACACCCGCAGTGGGAGTCACAAAGGAAGATCAGGGAGTCATGCAGATGGAGCAGGAGGGGGTCATAGTCACACCCCAAAACCCCACACTCCTCCTGTGTCCAAACACGGCCCAACCGCCCCTCCTGACACCCGCCCAGCCCACGTGGAGTTCCTCCCTCGCCCCGCCGCCGACCCTCTCCTCATCATCCTGCCGCTGCTCGCCTGTTTGCTCCTCATCGTAATCCTCGTAGTTTTGATTCTGGTGTTCCGCCGCCGCAGGGAGAAAGAGGCCCGGCTGCGGGTCCGGCAGCGGCTCGCCGCGGTGACGTTACCCCCCGAGGGCAGCCCTTACCTGGGCTGGGCGGAGCAGAGCGTGGCCATACCCTCTGTGGTGGTCACCCCCCTCGGGCCTGCCAGCTGCCCCAACTCACCCAGGGTCAAATTAAGTCACAAAAGGAGAAGTCTGGCCCCTGGGATGACCTTCTGGGGGCCTTTCGAAGCAGATGGAGAAGGTGAAGATGGGAATATTGGACCTGATAACATTAATGAAAGAGATAATGTAATGTTCAAGACTCTGAGATCTAGATCCTCTATTCCGACTCTTAAAGACAACCAGTACTGGGTTTGATGGAAGTAATGCAAAGAAAAACTGTGCCTATTTGGTGTGAAGTTAATAAATACACATACATGCTCTACATCTGCAGTCCTTTTAAGGCACATCTGACCTGCTTTGAACTTTTAAAACGACAAAAACATGCACATTTGTTTGTAGGAAATGCTTAATAGCAATTATATATTAGTCCTTTTCCTGAACCAACTTGAACTGAACACTTCTTTAGCTGTGTAGCTGTGAGGAATATAGTTTGTTACTTTGAGACTGTGGCTGAAACAAGGAAGTGAAACAGAAATGTAATAAAGCAGAATTTTTAGTTAATTCAAGACTTAGTTTGTAAATGCTGAGAGTTTAGGGTGTCATTCCCCTCATTTACTGCTCTGCATGCTTTTCAGTTTTCTTTGTCTGGTGTTGCTCAAGGCAGTATGTTTTAAACATGTTATCGGTTTATGATAGTGCATACAGTATTAACAAGTCGTAATGAGATGTAAAGACATAGGTAGCTTTCTTGTGTCATACGTGACCCATTTTATGCAAGCCTCTTTGTTGTCCACTGTGAAATTTTTATTTTTAATAAAGGTTATTTCTCTACTTACTGTATGTGTCTCAACCTCAAACACATCAACCTCAGCAATCAAAAGTCAATTGGAGCAAAACAAAGAGTTTTTGAGTCTCATGATCTTCCCCTTTTTTGGGGGGGGGGGGGGGGAATCAATATAGCACGGTACAACATTATTTTGTGTGGCAATATTGTGGTGGAAGGATGGAAGTATTGTTTGTTTTATCACATCAAATGTTAAACCTTTTGGTAACGGATGCTTTTTCTGTCCACTAGATGGTGTTGAGTTTTTCCAGTGAGGTCATAGGTGAAGGGATTGGCAGGAAGTTGGTCAAAACAAAGATGGGAGTCAAACTGCATGATTTGCAGTTGAAAAGAAAGGTAATCAATCAGAGAATATGATATAGTAATATTCAGCATACCGCAAACACGGGGGCCCACTCAGCTTATTTTCAACTACAAAACCTTGTTTATTAAGTCTGGTTTCAGTAATGTATGTGTATGTTAATGTTTCAAATGACCAGTCAGACTGGCATGTACCCCTGCTTGGATGCTGTAAAACATGGTTTGATTACTTTTAGAAATGTAAAGTAATGGCTCAGATAACCAATCATTTTAAATAGGATAAAACTCTAGGATAAAATGAAAACATGGAGGAGGAGGAGAGGAAGAGGCAGGCCTGCATAATGGAGGGCCAGCGCCTGCAGTAACCTGACCTGCAGCCTGTGATCTGTGGTGTCTGATGTCAGCGACCAGACTGCTGCTGCCTCCACAGGAAGCGCTGGTGATAACAAGCTACTCTAGGAGAACATGTTGCACTGAAAAGACACAGAATAAGGATGGTTTTGTTATACTAAATTAACGTAAAACATAAAACAACATAAAAATAGCAGGTGTCTTAGCACGTGTTGGCATTTACATGTGACTAGTTAAAGTGAAATATTTAAATATCCTAAACATATGCAAAGCATTTATATTCATCAAAACACTAATTGAAACACAAACAACAGGTCAAGTGAAACTATAATTTATATTTCTGAGAAATAGTCAACAATACAGATATATGATGACATATATTCTACTTTAATTTATTAACGAACAAAATGCTGTTCCAATGTAATACATTTAAAGTGTTAAAATGGTCCAATCATAGTGGATCACATGATGGTGAAGAACCTGACCTTTGTGGTATCCCATTATAGAAATGTGAAGTCGTATATGACGTAACAAAATTGACCAGACATACTCTAAAATGACGGGCACAAAAATACAAATTCAGTAAGCTCATTTTGGTTACTTATCGGTTTAACAATAAATGTTTAAGAGTAGCGAGCATAACAAGAAGAGCAACCATAATTAAAGCCACTGTGTAGAATCTCAGAAGTAAAAAAAGACAGAATGGGGTGAAATGAACAGATTCTTTACCAAGATTGTCTTAAACTACGGAAGCCCAAAGATTCAAATGAGAAGAAGAAAATCTAGTGATCCATTTCTCCATTCAATCCAAACACAATGCACATGAATTCATTATTAAAACTCACCTAAAAGAAAACAAATGGTTTTATTCATGTTTAGAACATGTGGTAATGGTGCACTTCAGCCCCTTGTGGGCAAAAAGGAATTACAAGAAAGAAAAACTGAGAAAAAAAAAGAGACATTGAAACAAAGGAAAGAAAACAATTAAGATTTGAAATAGAAAATAGATCACCAGAATGTTCTTTCTTGCCTCTTAAGGCTTCCGTATACATTTATATTAACAACTATGCCCTCTGAAGAATGTCAAATATTCTTTAATCCCATTAAAAGTCTACACATCTAAACCTAAAGTTCTGGATTCAAAGCCTTATTTCCTGGAAGCATCAATCTGTACCCTGAGCCTGACCTCTGAGCTACCCTGATTGATAAGAAAGCAGAAAGACAGATGTGGACTTCGAGTTTTAATAACCCAAGGCCTGCAGCGGCCCGAAAAGAAAGAACTGTGGAGAAGCTTCTCAAAACAAGCAGATAATCTGTCAAAAAACTCAGTTTGAGATCAACAATTATTCAAGGTCTGGCAAGATAGAAACTAAAATGCAGAACATTACAAAGGGCTTCAAATTATAATATTGTAATGAACTGACCGCAACATAATAGGGAGATGTGTTAGAGATCCAAACGAGGTCCATGAAATCCGACACCTGAATCAAATTCAGTAGAGGAGATTCAACCACTTTGTCTCTTTCCGTATTCACCAACCATCTGTTGTGTCCCATAGAAACAATACTGAACTGGTCATTCAAGTCAAAACAGACAGACACATATAGAGTTAATCATAAAAGTCCTGTCTTTCAATCATTAAAACATCCAGTTCAGGTGATATAGAGAGTTTCCTGTCTACGTTCTGTGGTATGTTCCTGATCGGAGGGTTTCCACGAGGCAGAGGAGAGATCACGTGACCCTGAAACCGAGAATGGAGAGGCTGCCCCGTCACAATGAAAACAGCTGTTTTTAATATCGCAGTCTCGCTGAGTTGCAAGATGTGCCCCGAGCGTCAGCAAATCCCTGTTACTGGTACATTCATCAGAGCCGTCCAGATAATCCAAGAAGTTGTCATTCTTCTGTCTAGAAGCCTATTTCTTTTTTTTATAAAGTGGTTAATTTCTTCCAATGCTCGTACCAGGCCCAGAATTCACCGCATGACAAAGTGTTCTCTCTGAAAGGACCATAAGAACCCATCAATCCTCCATGACTGCCCCCTCCCTCCTCATTTCCTCAAAGTCTTTGTAGTCCAACGTTTCTGTTCTCTCCCTCTCTTCCTACTGGTCGTCATCATATTTCTGAAGAGCGTCCTGCAGCTTGGCGGTGATCTTCTGGAAGAATCCGATCTGCTCTTGGAGGTGGTGCTGCATCTGCGAGCGGAAGTCCCGTACGCGTGTGCGGTGGAAGTGCTGAATCTCTGCCAGTGTGGCGCAAGAAATGATGTTGCAGCGATCGTGGAGCTCGCCTTCCTGCTTTGGACAGTCTTTCACCTTGGTCAGTGCACCTGGAACAAAAGCGAAAAGGTTGAAAGGCTTAAAGGGGACCTATCATGCAAAATGCACTTTTGTACGTCTTTTATACATGAATATGTGTCCCCGGTGTTCCAGGGAACTCACCAAGTGTCAGAAAACACAACCCTCTCTATTTTCCTCCATACCCAAATCTCTAAAAAAGGGGCTGCAACGGATCTGATAAAAACTGATCCAGATTTAAACACTGTCCTGACGTCAGGACGGTGGCGCTACGGCTATTGGGCCAACTCCACCAATCAGGAGGAGACAGCCACGGCCATTGCCGTTCGAAAGCGCTGGAGACGCTGTAGTACATATGCCAGGCCTGTAGATGGTGCTGTTCTCACTGAATCTGCCCTTGCAAAAACAGAGCTAAAAAATGTCAAATTGAGCAAAATGAGGCATGGCTAAAATGCATGATCTGTTTGGTATTATGAAAAAAAAAAAAGTATAAATATGCCTTATATAGGTATGGTCCTACACTATATTATTCAAATATAGCATGATAGGTCCACTTTAAACAAATTCAAACCGACATTGCAAAGTAATAGAACACCATTTTTAAATCGCAACCGCAATAACAAAATCTGATGTTTGGGTCATACGCTATAATGATTTATTGTTTGTGTGCATTTAATAATGCATAAAATAAGGAACTTTAAGAAGAAAAAAATGCATACTGAAACAACGCACAGTTGTAATTATTGGTCTAAACCACATGTGTCAAACTCAAGGCCCGGGGGCCAAATCAGGCCCGTGGTGGATTTAATGTCGGCCCGCAGGATAATTTCTAATTACTATTAGATCGGTATATTGCACGCACACCTTCACTCAATCCTGAGGGTTTCCTCAGCTCAGAGCCTGACCCCAAACATTGATGAACTTGCACCCAAGATGAGATGCCAAGTATCTGGCTTGAACTAGCATCACAGAGCAGCAAACTGAGTTTACATGGATGTTTCCTTCTGCACTTTTTTTTCTTGCGACAACAGGGCATGTTTAGTTTTTTCTTTGAGGGAAATAGTTTTTTTGAAGCTGTTGTTGGCCTGTGGAGAAATGTAATCATAAGAAATGACTCCTGAAAAGCTGCAGATAGAGCCATGAGAAATGAATGCAACTGATTATTTAATGTTTAATGTTGTTTTTATAGGCAATCATTTAAGCTTTGTTAGTTCCAGGTTTAATATGTGCAATAAGTTCATTTCAATAAACATTGAACCTGTCCGGCCCTCGACTAGTACCGATTTTTTAATTTTGGCCCACTGTGTATTTGAGTTTGACACCCCTGGTCTAAACCATCACAATTCTAGTATTTTCCCAAATGGCTCTAAAAGGATGGCAAATTCTCCAAGCTGACCATGACATTTCTTTTATACTACGTAAACAAGCTGGTTATTGCATACTTTTTCCATGAGCCTTGAAGTTACCCAACACCCAGCCATGACTCACAAAGTCTGAAATTCAAAAGGGGAAGAAGAAGTAGAGTTTGAAAAAAGACTGTTGGGGTAATGATGAGCTAGCTTTAAGCCTGGCCACGGCTCTCCACCCTGACCTCGCTGACCTCTCATTTTGATCTCTTTCTCACATGTCGGAAACACTCATCATACCTGCACAAGTACACTAACAAACTGAAATTAACTTGGACTTTGTCCCCTTCGCTGCCAAGGCGATTACAGAGCTGTAATCTGAACTCTTGTACTGTTGGCTGGTGGGAAAACTTGTTCAGCTCTGAAACAGTCTGAACCCCCTCCCTCACACATACACACAGCCCTCCCCTATTCTTCTTCTTCCTACTTCTCTTCAACTGTATCACTGGGAGGAAGGAGGAAAAGAGGGAGAAGAAAAGGGGAGGAGGAGGGGAAACTAATCCTGAGAGCGCTCCATTTTGCATTCCTGCAGTCCCAGGGCAACATTGGACAAGAGGCCAAGGAATCTCTTCACTCATTTAAATCAGATGTAGCCTTTGGACTCACAGACAGAACCGGCAATTGTAGGACGATACTGTACATGGCCGTTTAGGTTAACAGAGATTTCCACCTATAGAGCCAAGCAGCTGTATTCAGCTAATCTGTGGAGCAATGAGGCCATGTTTTTGTAATTTGTTTAATGGAGAAACGTACAGGGCTGTATGACATAGATAGAAATGTGTGGCATGCAGACGAGAGGAGAAAGAAAAAAGAGAAAAGTTTACGTGAAATGTGAGACCAGTCTTTTCTTTGTGTGCTAAAGAAAAGGAGTTTTGAGGAAAAAAAAAAGTCTTGTGTAAGCATTTTTCCCTCCATGGTGATCCTTCAACTAATTGGCTGTTATGGAAACTGTGACTAAACCAGACGTCTTTTGTTCAAGGTAGTTGTTTCACAATGATGACAGAAGTGCAGACTTTGCATTGTGGGGATGATGGATCCTCAGCAGACAGAGAAGTGTGCTGAGCAACAGCGAGTAATGGATTACTCAGAGTCAGTTCTTCTTTCCGTCAATGACTCCCTTTGTATAACCCATACACATGCTCGTCAATTAATTTGCAACTGAACACATGCATGTTGCAATATGTTGTTGCTCTTTTGAGTTGGTTTGTCTATAGAGACAGAATCACTAGCCAAGTTTCTAAATGTTGCTGATAATATTTAAGATTCTTTAAGGAATCAGTTTCAGAGCTAGTTTAGTTTCATTTAGTTTCTATGTCCCATGCCTGGTTGGGTCATTATCTGCCTTTTTGCATAATTTTACATGAATAAGCATGAGCTCATACTCCATAGAGACATTCATATTCATTTCCTTTAATACCGGAAATAAGTAGTCAATTTTATTTACTGAAAGCATATTACTCAACAACAAATAGATAGTAAGTAACGGTATCTTCCAGTGCAGCAGAAGTCAAGGAATGGTTTAAAGGTGTTAGAAATTAGACGACAACGCATTACTTGTCAATCAGAAAGTAGGCGCTGCCAGTCACGGGGACTATTGGGATTCAGACCGTGTTTCCATAGTTCCCAGCTGTGATTCTGTCGAGAGAACAGGGCTCAGCAGACTGTAGAAACAGTGCCTCTAGGTTTTGGCTAACTTCAGGACTTTGTGTGCCAGGAGCAACTCCCTCCTCCCAACCTGCAGGCAACTAACAAGCTAACTCTTCTGCGAGTTCTTTGTACACGTCTGTATGTGTTTTCCTGTGAGCGAGAACAGGATTTCACAGTATCCAGAATGTTACAATGCACGGGCCATGGGTTTCAGTTTTCAACTGTGCAGTAAATGAAAACAGATGTTGAAACAATCAGAATCTGGGTTTCTGTGAATTATCTGCCTTATTATTGACATGATAATACATTGTGGGCTCTGCAAAATGGATGGTTATTGGTAACATCGTTAATTACTGCGTATAATCCAAGTTAAACTAAGGAATTGTGTTACTCTTTTGTTTCAGAAGTGATTATATACAGTCTGAAGCTGAGAGCGAGAGGCCTTGTGTTGCTATGATCCTCCCTGGATTCAAACCCTCCACCCTGCAGATGCATCAAGAGTCATTACCTCATCTCCATTTGAAGATAACCTATGACCTCACTGGTGATAAATCTGCTAGGTCCTGTATCTGCTTAATTTCTTGCAAACTCCTTAAGGGGTATGTTCAGTATGTTTCTTCCTGGGTCCTATGTAGACGTGTTTTTGTGAAAAAAAGTGAAAAATGGGGACAACCATTTCTAAAGTTGGGCCAGTATTGAGCGAGAGCACTGCAGCCAATGTAGTCCTATCAGGCAATTCAGCTCTATCAATGTACTTCAACTAAAGTACTAGTTTTTGCCACTGACAGGCTCAGATTGTCTTTATAAGTTTCTGACAACATTTAAAAAAATGACCCTACAGACAAAAACATTTTTTAAAGTGGCAATGTCAGAACACATACATTCTCGTAGTGGAACTGCCCAATAGGAAAACATTGAAGCACCTTTTGCGGCTTCTGGCTCAAAAATGTAACAATTTTTTTAAAAAAGGGTCCAGGTTGAAATATACCAAAGTAACTGTTTAAAGAGTTCAGACTCTGGATTCTTATTTACATCCAATATAAATTAAGTATGTATGCAAATGAGCTAAGTGTGTTAACTTAATGCGTTTGGCAAGCATGGTGGTTCTGGTTTCAGAGAACACACACACACACACACACACACACACAGTTTCCTACCTTTCTGCACATGGATGATGTCAGGGAAATTGGCCAGGTGTCCTCTGTAGAGGTCCAGCAGGTCAGAAATAGGAGCCAGGTCACGGCGCGGCTGCTCAGCAAAATACTCTCCCACCTGCTCGTAGGCCTCTCCGGTGTAGGCGATGGCTCTGTTCAGACCCCCCGAGTAGGCCTGCTGGTCCAGCTCGAACGCCTGCCCCAGGAGAGCAAAGGACTGCCCCACTTTCTGGTACTCCTTCTTGAAGCCTGTAATCTGCTTGCGAGCGAAGTCATTGATGGTGACGTTCACAACCACGATGTTCTCGTCCATCCTCTTGGTGAAGGACTTGAAGCCTTCGATCTTGCTCTCCACTTCCTGGAGGTCCAGCGGGACGGCAGGCGTACTAAAAAGACAAAGAGGGTCATTATAGACCTTATTTTGAAAGTCCTTTATGATTGATTTCATTTAAGCATTACATCATCTGTATTTATTATTCCTCTGTTCTACTTATCTCATCCTCGCTATCAGGCACTCCCTACGAGGAAAGCCTTTAGTTACAGCAGAGTGAAACCAGGATACAGATAACAGCGTCTCGCTAAAGGGCAAATATCCTTTACTGTTAGTTTATACCATTGTATAAGGTATTTGAGGTGGATAAAATTACAGAAACATCTGACACAATACTATGATGAAGCACCACAAACCCGATTCATACCTCATTGACAGAGTATGAACAACAATATTACATCATAAGCTTCAGTGTGTAGCAACGTGTGAAGGGCTGTTATTTATGGTTTTTGGTAAACCTTCTTTCCCTGAGCCTACCACATATTGTACTTCAGTTACTGATTGCCTACATTTCCCAGAATGCCTCTTACAATCTCCAAATAAAGGGCTGTAACATGATTCAGTGGCTGGTTTTAGAGTCATCGCTCTGTTGATGACAACAGAGTGAGGTAACTGATAGTTCTTAAAGTAAACAAGGTCATGAACGTGGTCCTTACTGAAAATCTGATCTGTTTTAAAGCAGCAATGCATTATGGGCTACTAGGCGTTCTTATTGAAGAAGAATACAAGTCGGTCTGTACGCCTCATACACAATGAATTTCTCCCAGTACTTATCCGAGCCTCCTACCTGATTGTCAGGAAAAAATTTGAACCGACCAATTCGTCTCGCTCGGCCTTCCTCTTGCCCATCTTCCAAGCCTTCTCGTCTGCTCCGCATGTAAGGAAATGCTGGAAAACGTCGCAGCGTGCCAGCACTGGATGGGTGATCATGTGGTTCATCCACCAGATCAGCCCCTTCCTCCGCTTGGAGATGAAGTCTTCCTCAAAGCGACCGGTGGCCTGCTTCTCGGGAAGGTGGGGTACGGAGATGACCGGGAAGCGCTCAACGAGCCGAGCGTACAGCCAGTCAAAGTGCTTATACCTGCAGGGGTGATGGAAAATAACACAGGTTGGAAGATTTATTGGAAAGAGTAGTTGGGAATGAGGTGTATTAGCAAGTAAACAGCAAAACAAAGGAAGTTAGATGGAATGAAAAAGAAGGAAGGATGTAAGGAGAGCAAGTGTAAGGACTTTTTTCCCCAAAGACCAAGTAGAAACTAATGTGAGGGTGTGAGTGTTGGTTTAAATGACAGCCCTACTGACAGGGAAACAATGTGAAAGGTGCAGAGGGAATCTCAGAAAGGAAAGAGGAGATTCCTGAGGACTCCAGAGGGCAAAAGGCCACAGTTTTTTTGCCATGTTGTGGGAACAATTGTGGCTACAGGAAAAGCCGCAGAAACATTTATTCTTAAGTGTATGGGGGCCGGGGGATCCGGTGGAGAAATTAGTTTGGAAACCCCCAGAGGAGGAAGAGAAGGAGGAAGGTACCTGCGGTTGACTTGTACATTGGTGTGCGTCGGGGTCAGGCCGTAGGACATGTAGCTCTTCATGCCTTTGAACTTGGTCTGCTTGGTGGGGTCGTCAATGGTGCACATGAACGGATAAGGGTCCTCCTGCCACTCTGGTCCGTTTTTGCCCATCACCACGCAGATCCTGTCCCCGTCCTTCACGAAAGCAGAGGCCTCCCCGAGCAGGAAGGCCTCCCCTCCGGACTTGACAAAGGTGGAGAACCTGTTGAGGTTCCTCCCCACTGTTGCTGAGCTCTTGGCCTGCTGCTGATGCTGCTGGGAGCTGTCGCGCCGCCCGGGCAAGGAGGAGGTGACGGGGTACAAAGGGGGCGAGGTACCCATACCCTGAGCCGCATCGGTCGGAGAGCTGTCATCCCAATCGTCGTCCCAGTCGTCATCACTGCCCTGGCTGGTGTGGAAGCTGCCCCCCCCACTGCCACCACTGCCGGCCCCGAGTCCTCTCTGAGACTCCGGGGACGTGTAGGAGGTGTGAGTGGGCGTCACGGCTTTGGCTTTGGCTTTGGGCGAGGAGAGGCCGTTGTTGTTGGTGTTGGAGGTGATTTGGTCCCTGGTGATCTCCACATATGAGGCAGGGAAGAGGCCAGCCTCCCCCCTGCTGTTCTCCCCCTCCAGCCAGCCGTCCAGCTCCTCCTCGCTGAACAGAGTCACCAGCTCATTCTCTGTTATGGAGATCTCTCCTGGGTTTTCAGAGTGGAAGTCGTACAAAACTCTGGCCTTTAACGCCATAATTCTAATATCACATATGTTTATTTGTTCACTAGTTCCTGTCTTTGTTTCTTTAGGGACTTTTCTTTTACCCCCCCCGGATCAAACCTTTAAGAGCTCTTTTAAATGTGGAGGTTTAGATCATTTAGCGGAAGCAACAATTGGGACTACTTTTTCCACTTCAAAGCCAGGCTTGCATCGCAGAACCATGCATAAAAGAACAAGGGAAGAAACACACGGGCTTGTACCCGACACCCACCTCCTCTCGCCGCTCCTCTCAGATATCATTTGTTTCCATGCAGAACTTAATCCAAGTCGGGAAAATACGGAGGAAACCTGTATACCGGGTGTTTTCTCTCCGAGGGAAGATGCCGGTTAGAGTTTGAAGTTGACAAACTTGCGACGGCTGTGTCTCTGCTTTAGTCCTACGGATAAGAGCCGGGGGAAAGTACTGTTTTTTCCTCCTCCTCCTCCTCCTCTCCCTAAGATGCTTGTAAGTTAAAGGCACCAGTCCTAACACGTAGTAGACTGGCTGACTAACGGAGGGTGGAGCCAGGAGCAAGTTTAGTCAAGCCACTGAATTCATACATGGAAAAAACCCACATAACCTCATTTTAAAAGCTCCATCACGTAAATAAATATGTCAATACGTCACCAACTACACTTTGAATATGCCTTAATTAAGTCGGTGTTACTCGTATAAAAAATATATTATTCATTATTTTAATCTGATTCATTATTTCATTAGCTTAGCAAATAAATATCTGCTTTAAAAGTTAAGTGAGAGTAAATTGTGTACAATTGCATAGGCCTACACATTAAGTGTAATGGACTTTTATATTTTATATTTCCTTTGCTTTATGTATTGTGTGGCATTTTAGACCTCATTTATGACAGACACGCATAAACACTGTCTAATGTTTTTTCCACAAAAAAATAAAAAATAATCTGCTCCTTCCCTTTATTATAAAACATACAATATGAATAAGCAAATGGACTACTTTTAAAGGTTCACAGCTGGATTTGACTTCACTGAAGAGTTCATTATCAGAGGCTTCTGGCTTCTTCATCAAACTTGTGTAAATTGCATACTGAAGTTGAACACAGAGAAGCCTTAAACCTCAAACTCTGGAAATGCATCGCTTTGCACATTGAAGGCCTACAACCCAATTGAAGAAACAAAAAAAATATGGTGGATTGAGGGGAAGTTACCCATATTTAATTTAGCTCAAAATCTGGCAACTACAAAAATATTACCATAACATTTTTTTTTCAGGCATGTGCCATTTAAAAAAAAAAAAATTGATATTGTTAAATTGTATTACTCTTTTAGAATAGAACTGTTCTATCATGATCCCCTACTATCATTTTTGGGATTACAATACAATCAATTATAATTTAAAGGGGACCTATCATGCAAAATGCACTTTTGTACGTCTTTTATACATGAATATGTGTCCCCGGTGTTCCAGGGAACTCACCAAGTGTCAGAAAACACAACCCTCTCTATTTTCCTCCATACCCAAATCTCTAAAAAAGGGGCCGCAACGGATCTGATAAAAACTGTTCCAGATTTGAACACTGTCCTGACGTCAGGAAAGTGGCGCTACGGCTATTGGGCCAACTCTCCACCTATCAGGGGATTGTGGGGTTGGGCCACGGCCGGCCATTGCCGCTCGAAAGCGCTGGAGACGCTGTAGTACATATGCCAGGCCTGTAAGTGGCGCTGTAGTCAGCCACAAAAGCAGCGAAGAAGACTTCCCGCGCATGGTTGCTATGGTTACTCTTCTGTTTATTCTCCGCTGTGGCTTTTTTTTCTCCCTCCCCGAGGCAAGCGTTTGCTCCCGCTGCTGTAATTCAATGCAATCCCTCCCCGTCGAGGCAAGCACTGTAATTCTCTCCGGTTAGTCCACCAGCAGATGACAAACACCCACCTCTCCGCCTCTTCCAAGGAACGAGGGGACCGTGCGGCAGAGTTTCAGTTAGGTTTTCTTTCGCCGGTCAAGATGTCCGTTAAAGTTTAAATCTTCCGGACAAAATTAGAAAAGTGCCGGTCAAAGGTCTTCTTTGTTATTTATTGAGCTTTAAAACAAATTTAAAAACGACTCTATAGGCCTATAATAATATAATAAAACACGGAGGACGGAGATCTTTTTTTCTCCCCCTCTTCTGACTTGATCAGAGCACGGCTCCCCTCTCCTGCAGGGGTCAGCTGCAGCTCACAGAATCAGCCCCGTGCAAAAACAGTGCTGGAGAACAGCAAATAGAGCGAAATGAGGCATGGCTAAAATGCATGATCTGTTTGGTATTTTGAAAACAGAAACGTATAAATATACCTTATATAGGTATGGCCCTACAATATATAATTTAAATATAGCATGATAGGTCCACTTTAATATAACTAAATATAAAATACTACAATCTCAAATATAATTGTAAATATAATACATATATTTATGTGATATACTATAATATAGTGTGATCATATATCATAGCATATTTGTAATATAATGTAATGCAATTTATCATAATATCGTAATAAAGAATATAATGTAATATATATATGCTGCCGCTAGAGGTCAGTGTTACACCACTCAGTGACAGTTCCTCTCCCGTCCAGCAGCAGGCAGTAACGCGAGCTTCACGTTAGTTTGTGAAAGTGAAAGCTTCTCCAGACAGAGAATGTGTTGATTAAAAATGCTCTACGTCTGATTTTATATTTATGATATGTAGTCAAACATTTAGGAATGATTGTGTCGTAACAAGATGAACATTTCCTTCAGTTTGCAGTGGCTGACGAACGTCCATGAATGAGGAAGATGTGATGAACCTGCCTGGACTCAGTTTTCATTTATAGTGAAAAAGTTAAGTATGAGACATGTTTATGAAGTGTCGGTAAACCGAGCCATGGCGAGCCGCGCTAAAACCTGTAGTCGAAATGCGGCTTAATAAGCCATGTGACTATGTATTGTTCATTATAGAGTTGCAATGCATTATCAGTTAAAGTTATATAATGTAGAGCCGATTAATGGGAGTCGGAGGCGGTGTGTTAAGTATGGAATGCCACACTATTTTCCATTAGGTTACAGACAAAATAATGTAGGCTACTTGCTACATGCTACCGTGAAGCTGATAATGCTAACAACAACAACAACCGGAACATGGTACCACCCACTAACTGGTCCGTAGTGCAACACACTGTATATCCCGGTGAATTATGTCCCGTAATGTTCCACCAGCCCGGGGCGGAATTATTAAAGACCGTGGTACCGTTAAGCTCCGACTTTATCGGTCTTTGTATCGTTTTAGTTTCGCCAACACCGTTGCTAAAATGCAATAAGACTACAAAATGCGTCTATGATGTATTTTCGATCTTTCAAATCCAGACGAGAGATCTCTCTCCCCTGTCTGTGTGCGAGGGGGCGGGGCAGTCTACACACACTTAGCTGCTACATGCATGCAACAACACACACACACGGCGGAGATGGCGGGGAGAATGGAGAGAACTAAGCGCTCCAAGGTGTGGTTAAACTTTACCCGACTCGATCTGGACAATGCTCGTTGCCAAATGTGCAATAAGAATTTTGCATGTAAGGGCGGTAACACGAGCAATTTGTCTAAACATTTAGCAAAAGTGCACCACATTCAGTGGGAGAAATGCACCGTTTTCGTTTCTAGTAGCGCTGTAGCCCCATCCACGAGTAACGTTTCCACGTCAGGTATGTATATCCTCCAGAAGAACCGTTTGGCCTTTTGCAGCATACTTGTATGCCCCACCTGTGTTGCTCTGTAGGCCACTGTATTTTTGCAGTAAATGCTTGTTTTTTGTTTGTTTTTTACAGTTCTGTAAGTTCACATTATTTACAATTTGTTTAGTTAATTTACCTTTTTTTCTTCTTCAAAATAACCGATAAGAGTACCGTTAAAGGACCGGATCGATTAGTGGTATCGGTAAAAGTAGTAGTACCGTTAAAACCTTAACAATACCCATCCCTATATATAACGGTATAGCAGTCACCAGTACTTGACCCTTTCCCTCTCTCCTCTACAGGTTGCATCACGTCTGACCCAGTTCAGACCTCCTCTGACCCGGTTCAGACCTCCTCTGACCCGGGTCAGACCTCCTCTGACCCGGTTCAGACCTCCTCTGACGGTCTGTGTAAACTGGTCCGCTGGGCTCACAGCCACGGCACCATCTGCAGCCTCCTCCCCAGCCTGCAGCAGCTCACCTCCCACGGTACAGCGCTGACAACAGAACCCGGTTCCCACGGCAGCAGCATCCCTGTCGCCGTGTGGAGTTGTGCCGATGGACACGCATACTACTGGCCCCTCAGTGAGCATAGCAATGCTAACGGAGGCTCAGGCCATACTAGCAATGGTCCGGAGAGGTTTGTTGGAGGGCGTCCATCCAATAAGGTAAGGTAGAGATTTAACATCTTTGACTGTATTTTGCATTTCATTGCAAACCTAATTTGAGGTGTCCAGCACAGCTATAACACTTAACATACTCAAATGCACAATCAGTGGTGAAATCACAATGTCACAATCAAATGGCCCTTGACATTCTCTCAAATTAAAGCATACACATCCTAGATAAACGGTGTTGATGCCGACATTCTTGAAGGGAAGCAAAGTTGTCGCCCTCTGTATTTAAGGTTACAGAGAGAAGAGGATTTAAGACAGCGCCAACTTGCTAATACCCCTTTGCAGCAATACATGTGAAATGTATACTTTCATTTTAAAAGACCACCGCACCAGTTGTATCCTATTTATTCCAAGAAAAAAATAACACCTTACTTTGGTGTATTCAGCCTTGAAATGCAGATTTTGAGGATTCCATTGCTCTCAATTTGATTGGTAATTGTTTGATATTGATTCTCTTCCCCTACATTATCAGTGTCAGAAAGTGGGTTGATTTTATTTTTGCAAAAATGTGTTGCGGTGCTTGAGTTGCTGGCTACCAAAGTGTCCTTTTTCATGTTAGACATTTTGAATTCCTAGATATAGAGTCTTTAAAGAAATGCCTTAGTTAATAAGTATCACACTACACAAAGTTTAGGGACATCAATGAGACACATTTATAAAAACGATATGTAGTACAAATCGTGACTTCACTCTGATTTGGTACAGTTAGTAAACTTGAATTTCTCATGCACTCTCTATTACCTTCCAGGTGACAGTAAAGGCGTCATGTGACCTGTCCTATAGTGAAGCAGCATCACAGGGGGAACAGTTCAGCAGTGGATGTGATTCGTCGGCAATGGCCGAAGATGATGACTATGAGCCACGCCCATCCAGAAAAAGAGGTGGGGCAACGGGAGTAGCACTTCCTGTGAAGAAGGTCAAACAGGAAGCAGACTCTGCAGAGGATTGTGACTCTGGCATGTAGGGCTGGCAGTGAAAGACGTTGCATCACAGGCTCAGGGCGCCAGATCTGGGGGGGCGCTGGTATCTCTGAGAGGAGGAAAAACTCCTTTTGACTGTTTGAGCTCATCCTAATTTTCGGCCATGATGTAACAACATTCATAATTAAGTAAAGGTAACACCCTTTTCACCCCGGTTACACGTTTCATTTGCCCTGTACGATTGGCGCTGTTGGCTTATCAGGCGCCCGCAGCTCACAGCCAAAGGGAGAGAGAGAGAGGGCGCACCGGGACCGGCGGGAATTGTGTTGTTAGCATCTGGTGCTGAAAAAAAGGCAGATCATATACAATGTGAAACAGAAGCCTACAATGCAACATGTCTGTGGTCCTTAACTTGTTTACACGTTGTTATCATTTTCTTTTTCCCTATCTTGTTCGTGATGATCGTCATGTGGCTGCACTACATTGTCATCAGATTTCTGTTGCTGTGGGGGTAGACTTTCTGCCCCAGTTCTAATCAGTTTCTTCTTTCTGGATGGTTGTTAAAAATCTGCGCTAAATCCTGACTGAAAAAGCTATTGTTCCAGGACTTTTTGTTTAAAGAAAAGGCAGATCATATACAATGTGTATGGGTTTGTTCTGTTCTGGTCACTCACACCACTTAATAACTAAGTGACTCTGACTTTAGTCAGATAGTCTAATTGATAGTGGACTTTTACATATTTAAGGATCAGTGGTTCAAAAAATGTTTTTCTATGCAAAGTAATACATTTTATTGATTGTGTTGTTTTGTGTGTTGCCGAAAGCTGTTTTACATTAAAGCACCAAAAATACTGAGTATTATGAAGTAAAGCAAGTCTTCTTTCATTTTACAAAGGAAAAAAAGCCTTTGTCCATGGGTTTGTATTGCTTAAGAAAAAGATTATTTCAGTTGGAGAAGTGGATGACTGAAAATGTATAGCCTATATATAAATATGGGGCTAAAGACACCATCATATATCGGCACAACTGCCGTCTTCTGGTAACATTCTACCCATAGATGAAGGAATGTTTGTTTTCCTTTTTAATGTGTTTTATCTTAAAACAGAAGTGAGAAATCAAGATGCAAAGATCAGAAGTGAGGGGAAAATCTGAAAAGAAACGATAATGTGAGCTATATTAAGTAAAATTACCTTTACGGTATTAGGACTTTCTGGCCCCATTTCTTATATGTGCAAAAATAAAACTTGAATTTCAATATATATTGAATGTAACACTTTTGGATTTTAGATTTCCTTTGCTTATTGTAATGTGTGGCATTTTAGACCTAATTTATGACAGACACACATAAACACTCTGTCTAATATCTTTTCCACAAAAAAGGATAAATACAGAAGTGAGGGGAAAATCTGAAAAAAAAACAATAATGTGAGCTATAAGTAAAATTACCTTTAAGGTATTAGGACTTTCTGGCCCCATTTCTTATATGTGCAAAAATCTAATTGGTCAGAACCGGCCCTGCACAGGCTACTTAGGGAAACAAACAACCTCTCAAATCACACAAACATTGCCCATCAAGTCCCTACACACTCTGTGGTGTGTGGAAGTAATAGACCCAGAGGTGCAGCTGCATCACAGGGACCACGGAGCAGGCCAGGAGATGCAGCTCTTCGACAGAGACTACAGAGAAAATTCCAGGTATACATTTGTTTCGAGGCTTGGAAATACCTATCCTCTTGGATAACAGCTGTAAATTAGCAATGTTGGCTAAAGCTGCCCCATTTACTGTTTTTTGTGATAGTTGATCAATAGGGACTGTCCACGACACTATAAACTAAAGAGTGAAAACGCTATTTAAAAATAATTTCACACTCCAAACTCTTGCTGCAATGTATCACTTTTAATTTTGATATATAAACATATTTAGTCGTATTTTTTCTCTTTCTGATTCTAGAAAAGAGGTGGCCTTGTGGCTCTAATCAGATGTAACCAGGAAGTTCCCTCATGCCCTCTTCTGACGACGCGGCTGTTGCATCAATAGAGTCATTTGTGTTGTTATAACTTAAACGTCCCTTATTATACTGTTTTTCATCATACATTATAGGTCTCAGATATATACACAAAATGTCTCTGAAGTATTTGGCTCGAAATACTAAACAGATCATGCATTGTAGCATCCCATAATCCCCTGTTTCAGCCCTGTTTCAAAAGTGTTGATTCTCTGTCTGTTACTTTAGATGAAAAATAAGGAGCCACTCCCCACGCCCCCTCTGAGAGATATTTGGTTAAAAAGAACACGGTGCTCTAGGAGGAGATTCAGGTGATAAGGTGGGGGGGTGTTACCTTGGTTGGTTTTTGGCTAATGGTTACACAAGCCAACAAATCGTTATGACATAAAGTGGCCAAAATCTAATCAGCTCATTTTCAGACAGGTTTTTATATAAATGGATCAGGACAAAAAGTGAGTGAATCTCTTTACACGTGTTTATGTATAAAAGACATGAAAAAGTGGATTTCGCATAATAGGTGACCTTTAATATTGCATTAATGTGTCTTACTGTCCCTCTCCTCTCCAGTGAAAAACGTGGTGGGTGTGATAGCGTGCTACAAGGCAGCCCTGCAGGAGTTTCGCCGCAGTGTTTCCATGAAGGTGACCGGCTCGGTTTGTATTGCTTAAAAAATATATTATTTCAGTTGGAGAAGTGGATGACATATAAATATGGGGCTAAAGACACCATCATATATCAGCACAATTGCCTTCTTCTGGTAACATTCTACCCATAGATGAAGGAATGTTTATTTTCCTTTTTAATGTGTTTTATCTTAAAACAGAAGTGAGAAATCAAGATGCAAAGAAAAAAACCCGATAATGTGAGCTATATTAAGTAAAATTACCTTTAAGGTATTAGGACTTTCTGGCCCCATTTCTTATATGTGCAAAAATAAAACCTGAATTTCAATATATATTGAATGTACACTTTTATTATCCAAATATCAATACAAACCTTGAATGTAAAACCCTGACAAAATGTGCATTAATGCGGTGAAAGGCAATGACAGTATTTCTGTAGAGTTAGTTTTTAGCCCCTGCACGACTTCACAGGATGTTTCACAGCTATCTGGAACCTTCTTCCGACTGTTTTGAAAAGCTTTCCTAAAATCAGCAGCCAGCCTGTTGGTCTGGAAAATGTAAAAATGACAGATTCACACTCCCCTGAGATTGTTTACACAACAACTGTCCATTTATCAAAGACTTAAAAGAGAGGAACTGGGAGAGAAGTGGGTCTGACATGAGTGTGTGTTGTTTGAAAGCCCTGTCCCACAGGCAGCAGGAGGAAGAGGACGAGCGGTAAAAAGGTCAAGACTCGGGTTCCAGGCGTGGAATGACTGGGAGGATGAGGTTCCCAAACGAGGAGTCCTGAGTGATGAAGAAGCCCGATGAGTGTGTGTGTGCATGCTGCAAGAGAAGACACAAACACCATTTAGTAAATATGGAAATTAAACAAAGTAACATTGTTTTTAAAGGTGCTGGTAGTATTTGTATTTGGAAAGAGCTAAGCTTGCTGTATCCCCATTTATGGTCTCTATGCTAAGCTAACCGTCTGTTTGGCAAAATATTTTTCGAGACTTTATGGCTTCATGATAGCATCACCATTTATGATGGTGATTGACAAACATACATTGGAATTAGGATGAGTAATTTATGTATTTGTTTTTAGGATGAGTAACTTATGTATTGTTTGTTTACATTCATACTAACTTGTTGCACTATTGGTTTCCGTTTGTGTAAAATAACAGGAAGATTAATTGGTTTTTGACTCACCTGCAGGGCAGCTTTCTGCTGGGCAGCGATGTGCTGCTGTTCTGCGTTGTCTCTGAACTCTTTCAGGTTTGGTCTGGACAGCGAGATGCTGCAGGATGAGAGAGCTCAAATTAGAATATTGACACTAAGGATATACTATCTCAATGCTTAATACCTGCTCTGAAATGTTTTCAGAGCAGGAAACTCCATGACAGGAAACATTGCTTACCTGGCTCCAGGAGTGTTCAACAGCCTTCTCCTCTCTTTCTCCAGCTCTGCCAGGATCGCCACCCGTGCCTTGTTTGGGAAAGCTAGATGAGAACAAATAAGAGGAATAGATATAAAGACAATGTCTCATCTGCAGTGTTGACAGGCAACACTGCAGATGAGAGTTTAATGCAAAATGACTGTGACTTGTATGCACTGGCAGTATATAGGATTTCTAGAGACTTGATTTCATGCATTACATCCCAGCTATGGACTACAGAACTTTATCAATGTGTAGCTGTGTTTCCTGAAGGGGCCCCAAAGAGCAAAGGGGGGTCAGCATTCATAGCTACGCCCCTGCAGATATAGACAAAGACCTTAAACACCAATACCGTTTGTCCAATAATAATTACCTTGTCCTGGTGGATTTGTAGCCATGTCGCCGCAGGTAAAAGGAACACAGTCAAAATGACAAATTATAGAAAGGTTTCTATTAATGGTATTCGTTTTATTTGTGTGTGTTTCCTTCCTCCCAGCTAATGTTGCACTGGTGGATAACGGACAACGATCAAAGTCCCCTTGTGTGAAACGTATAACTTAGACTGGAGCTGGATAAACTACACAGAAGGTACTGTTGTAACAATAACTGTTGTAACAGTATCTGAAGGATTAAAAGACGATAAAACTCTTGCTTATGTACGGTTGGTGAGTCGCATATTGCCTCTGAAAGAAGTACCGGGTTTTCAGCTAGGTTGGTTAGATAAAAGTAAAAATGAAGATGTCTCACTCTGCTCCTATGTTCGGTTACCAACATTGTTATCAACGAGAACCAAGAGAAAGGCTGACGGAGGGGAAATGAGCATGTTGAAATTATATTACAGCTACAAAATATATTAAGCTCTGAGTCACATTGACTCCCACTTGGGAAACCAGAGTGTCCTCACTTTTCTTATTGATACGCTCAACAAACTTAGTGCATTGATGCAATAGTGGATACAGTTGTTGGTAGCAAAACATTTTTCTTAAATTGACGAGGTGATTTATACTATGATTTATAAACTACCCGTTTTATACACAATTAATTGGGAATTTTGAAGGCTGTTTAATGTTACAAGCTTATATTGTTGCCTAAAAAATTATCAGGGTTAGCTGTTTCATCAACAATTGTATCATCTTCTCAATAGACGATCTTAAGAATTTCATTCGTTGCTATTTGTCACGTGATTCACATGTTTACATCCGGGTTCGTGTTGTTTAACTTCCGGAGCTGCGCAGTGGGAGTCAGCTGACAGTTGTGGCCAACCAGCGGGTGTAACATCGCAACTGAGGAGACAGTGAAGGGAGAAAACAGCCTCCCTCTGTCTGTAGTAACCGTATCAGCCGCGGAGAACCGGACAGTTGTTACCCCCCGATACCCGGACACGTCCTCCCGCCTCCCGCAGGATGAGTGTCGGTGCTCCGAGGGCCCTGGCCAGCTCGGGGCAGAAGCCCATCACGGAGATCCTCCACCCGCTGTCCGCAGCCGAGGAGCCGCTCTCCGTCACCGTCGGAGGGGACAAGGTAGGCAGCGTCCGCCGGGGCTTTACCGAAACCTGTTATGGTGCTTTGAGAACAACCAGGGGCTGGAGAAAGCACCTAACTACTCTGTGTACAGTGACCTGCTTTTAGGCTGCCACCAGTGTTTGTGGTTTAATCCATCAAGTAGTCCATTAAGTGAACTAATGGAAGTTTAATTGAGAAAACGGGATAAACATTAACCGACCCTTCTTCTGGTTAATGTTTATTATTTTTGTGTTTACTTTAAAGTGTTGCTGCCTATGACAGGAGTTATTTGAGCCTGAAGCGTTTGAATTTGTCAATAAATCAGTGTTGCATGTAAGCTTAACCTTTTAGATGGCTATTTCTTTAAAAAAGGGGGTTGTTTTTTGAGAATACAGCAAAAAAACAACCAAATGCATGTAAGAACAGACAAATTCAGAAACAAAATACTACACACAAGGTTACCGTGAGTAATGTGTTGTTCATTACATTGACTCCAGTTTACACATATTTTGCTTGGAAAACTCAATCTATAAAGGGGACCGTACATCATTATTGGTGTGCTGTGTACAGCTTTTACAATCCTGTGGTTTTACATACAGGAGGAGTGACATGCTGAGCAACCACTTTGAGTAAAGTTAATCATTGTCGATGGGAGATGATGTGATATGTCTTGAACCTCCACACAAATTAATCTGTGAAGCCTGTATGAGTTCCTCTGTGAACCTGGCCCACAACTGAGGAGGCAATTATGCATCTGCTCCCAGTCTGTTAGCAGAATGTTCTAACAATCTGTCAACACTCTCCAATGAAAGTTGATGGAATGTTTGAATATGGGCCTGGAAAATCATATTTTTCACATTTCATATTTAACCATACAGAAGCTGCAGTGTTGAGAAGTACAACTCTTTCATTTGTTATGTTTATTTGCATGAGGGCCAGATTTGGAGCATAAACCAATGTCACACACCACAACATCAATAGACTAAACTAATGTGCAATGCCTGTTACTAGATAGGCCTTTAAAATACACAAGAGACAGTATAATAGGCACATGCATTAAACTTTAACAGGAGAAAACAGACCAAACACTTATATAGAAAAAAAAATACTCGTTTTGTTTTTATATTATCTTTTACACCTTATATATTGTTTTCCTGCAATTTTCAATCATATCCATAAGTAGAGGTTGATGTCATTTAATGGGCTGCTTTCCTCGGAGATATTTCTCATATCACTGTAGGAAAAGCACATGTTTAAAACTAGTAAGATATTAATGGCTGAGTTCCATTTAGCTGCTTGGGTCCTGATATTCTGCATGCTGTCTCGTTAATAAGTAGTTAATGCCATTAGTAACACCTCTGCTTTCTCTACTATGACAGTTAAAATGTCTCTTACTAAAATGGCCAATAAAATAGTTCTGTAGACATAATGACAAACTTAGTTACCCTCCATATTTATCAGCCAAAACTGCCCAATATGTTTAGAAAGTTTGAAATGACTGTGAAAATGCAATATTTACGCTCCACCACAGTATGAACGGGGATAAGGGAATGTTAATTAGTTGGCTATAATATGGCTATACTGTTTACACTATGCTTCGTATTGAAAACACATTCTCCCCAGTGTAAATATTTTCAGATTCTTCCTTAGTGTGTTTGTGTTTGGTTGTTCATTCACAGTGGTGTGATGACGCAACACGATGCAATTATCTGAGCTGTGATTACCAGTGCAGGTTAGCAACACAGTGTGAAGAACGGCACAATGTCAGCAGCCTGTCTGTTTCTGTGTGTACACAGCAGCAGAAAGAGAGTGGTGTGAAGAAAAAGTGTGTGGTTGTTCAGAGTTTGTGTGGAACAGTGAGAGACAGAGGGGAGGCCCTTTCTTCACACTGATTTAATTGGGAATTAGCACACAGGCAAACTATTTGGTGTTAGAAAAAGGGATAAAGGTTGAACTTGAGCTGCTTTTTGCACCTTAACCCAGGAGAAATATGTTCTGGTGATAAGATGAAATCAAATGTGACGGTAAAAGATTTTTTGAATTGTGTTTAGATGCTGCAGCCCTGCTACCAAAGTGTTTTGCCTACCTTCCTGTTGCAGTGTTTAGTCTTTTAGTTTACATTTAACATTCTGTTGCCTGCGGTCCCTGTGGTTTACTTAACGAAAGTCCTTTAGATAGGTGCAGTAATATTTTAATACATTGTCAAAATTCATTTTTCATCCAGTGGATTCCACATGCTGTCTCTTCATTTAAGGGGGAAACATTTCCACATCCTCCAAAATTGTCCAGTAATTAGCTTTTTGCAGCTTTTATTCAACTTAAGTTGGAGCTTGTGGGGAAAATGTGCTCTCTACTGCAGTTTTAGAAATCCAAAAGTGTGTGTGCATGCGTTTTCACACTAACGTAACTGTGGGAAAGTGTCTTGGAATAGTTTGGCATCAGTTTGGTCGTGATATCGGTCAAACCTGTTTTTGTAAACAAGTTACGGTCTGTGTTGCTTAATGCTCCAATTCACAGGAAAATATCTGTCTTTTCAAAATAACAGTCAACATTTCACAAGGGTTAGGATTAGGAAAACACGCTTATAGTTTATTTAAAAAGGAACAAAAATGTTCTCCATCAACTTAGAGATGGTATAACAAGCTATTATTCTCCCATAGTTAGAATTCTTTAGCATTAAGGGCCGTTAAAATGTGTCCCCAGCCCAAAAACGCTCCATTTCTCTCCCCTCATCCATCATTCAATTAGAGAGACAGCAGTAGTGTCAGATGATGCACCCAGCTCCAACAAGAGCCCCATTGAGAGTGACAAACATATGCATCACCATCAGCATCCATCCATCATTCACCATTGTGTTCTCTGTCCACGCAGCAGGAAGTGGGGCTGACCAATGGCACGCCGGTGGAGACGTCGAGTCCCGCCTCCACGTCCTCGCTCTTCAACCGGCTGCAGCTGGACGACGACCTGGAAGCAGATGTGCGGGACCCCTACGCAGACAGCACGGAAATGCGTGACCTTTTCGTCACCGTGGACAACCCAAAGAAGCACATCTCCACCATGGAGACCTACATCACCTACAGAGTCTCCACCAAGGTCTGCTATTGGCCTGTGTCATGGTAGCACTGTAATATAAATATATGAAAATAAGAGCTCTAATAGTATTATTTTATTATTAGCGGCATCATATTGGTTATTAAGCATGTACAAGCCCACCTGCCAATCATTTATTTCCCCCTTTGTTATATCCTTTTATGTTTTTGCGTTTTTATAATTGTGTTCGATATCTAAGTGCTACAAGCTTCCTGTCAGCTTGCAATCAGCAGCTGATTCCCAAACCCCCGGCCGTATTATAATACTGCGCTGTAATGTTAATACACACAATTAGTATTTCTATTTCTGGGATATCTAACATGCTAAACTTTCAATACGATAGATAATCCATCTCTGGCTCCTGACTCTTCACAACGCTTCGACCCATATTTGTTGGTGTTTAGCTTTTCAGAAACAACATTTTTACCCAGGCAGAAAGCTGTTTGCTCTCCCAGTTGCTGTGCGCAAAGGGAGACACGTACCTATTTTAACAGAGCACCACAAATTACACAATCTATTTCAGAGTGTTGGCATCGTAACATTTAACATCCTGAAAACCCCAATAGAAGCTTTCAATGTGAAAACTGAAAAGTCTCAGCCTATATGCAGACCTGCTGGTGTCACCACCTTCATAAGGGATTTATATTCCAGTCAGAGGGCGGATGCGTTCAGGTACTTCTGTTCACCAGGTGGATGCTCTGCTCCATCCTTCACATCTGTCTGACAGTAAGCCACCACTCAGCCTGACGGGACTTCATTTGCTGTGACTTTCAGCAAGGAGTCATGTTTTCGGAGGCCTTTCCTACGGTGTAAATGAAAGAAACAGATTCAGAGGGAGACAGTGCCAGGAGCCGCCTGGGTGGCGTCATGACGACAGTTGCCATGTGCTCTGGTGTGTTTCGGCTCAGAGGCCTCAGACAAATATCACAGCTTGATATGAACACAGTGTGTTAATTGAGAGCATGTGGGGGACGTCTTTTATCACCGTAGTGTCAGAGAGGCAGCGAGTGCTTTCTCTGCTATATTTCAAGGTCACTAGCTGAGACGTAAAGAAACATGACCGTCCTCCAGTCTCATACCTAGGGATTGTGTGCGCTGATGTCTTAAATACATTATCCTCTCAGGTAACATAGCAAATGCTCTCATGTTTGTCTTTTCTCCAGACATCACGGGTGGAGTTTGACCTCCCGGAGTACTGTGTGCGGCGGCGATACCAAGACTTTGATTGGCTGAGGATCAAGCTGGAGGACAGCCAGCCCACCCACCTCATCCCTGTAGGTCACATGACCCGCCCGCCATGCAACCTGTCCTGTTTTCCATCAAGAAACGCTTCATTTACAGTCTATTCCTTCTCTTTCCTTCTCCTTCAATCTCTGTTCTGCTCTAGCCGCTGCCCGAGAAGTTCGTGATGAAGGGCGTGGTGGATCGTTTTTCGGAGGAGTTTGTGGAGACGAGGATGAAGGCTCTGGACAAGTTCCTGAAGAGAGTTGCCGATCACCCCGTCCTCTCCTTCAACCCACATCTAAATGCTTTCCTGACGGCCAAGGTGAGACAACACAACAGGGTTGAGATAAAAAAAAAATCAAGCACTTGTTAGATCATCTCTGTCCTCGCCCACAAACAAATCTGTGTAAATGATTTGCCCGTAATAAGGAGACAAAACACACAATAACCAAATAATTGTTACATTTGCTATTGATACTGCAATAATATCGTTATAGTAAATTATTTTTGGCCACAATAATAGTGTAGTGGAAATCTAATATTGCGACAGTCCTAATCAATAGGGGTGTGTGTGTGTCTGTTTGTGTGTTTTCTCCACATATGCCAACAGTCACCTATTTTGTCTCCAAGCAGCCGAGACACAAGACAATACTTTATTGATCTCTGCGGGGAAATGAGGTTGTTGCAGGAATAAAATAATTAGGACTCCGAAAAAAAGTGCAGCATCAGCATTTCAGAACAATATAAAATCTACCATGTACTGTAAAAGATAATAAAACAACAAGAGCAGCTGTAGCAGTCCATTCATGTGACTATTTCAGCACTTTAGGTATAAGATCAATATTACCCTTGATTTCTTCTGATGATTGACTTTATACCATTTATCACAATATGCAATGTCCATTAGGTGTTTAGGTGGCACAAGGTACATAGAACAAGTGCTTAATTCTTTTTATTCTCGGCCTCACGTCTGCAGGACCTGAACAAGCGTCAGGGTCTCGCCCTGCTGTCCAAGGTGGGCGAGTCGGTGAAGCACGTTGCCGGGGGTTACAAGCTGCGGGCGCGGCCGGCAGAGTTCTGCGCCATGGGAGAATATCTGGACACCTTCAACCAGAAACTGGGAACCATCGATCGCATCGCTCAGAGGATCCTCAAAGAGCAGTCAGGTAGCAACAGAGGAGACTGAGCTAAATGAAATGCACTCTCAAGGTTCACGATTCTTCCTTTTTAAAACACATTTCTTTGGAGCCTTTTATTGGACAAAAGTCCCTTTTTCAAGTTCTAATAAGTAATAATAAGGCTTGAAAATGGTTTTAAACCACTTCATTGATTGATTTGGTTATTAAAGAGACAAGTAAGAGAGGGTTGATTTTAAATGACTTACAAATGAGAAAACTATTCTATTCAAATAGAACTTCAAATATGTCTAGACAATCATTATATAGCAACAAATTAAATTAAAACCTGATGAAATATTACAAAATTAGCAAAGGAGCTGTTGGGAAATAATTGTATATCAATGTGAAAAAAATAATAATACCTACATCCCCAAATAATTGTAAAGAATGTTTTAAAGAGGCAAAAAAAAAACACATTTTCAATTGTTATTCCTTCATCTCTTTCTATTATTTACCAATTCTATTACACTCATTGTGGCAAAAACGTAACATAGTAAAAAAGGCCCGGGATGTAGTAAGCACTTCCTGGCTGGAGAGCTGAAGCCACTCTTTCACTTCACTTTGCAAAAGTATTTTAGGCGGCAGGAAGCAACATTTTGACACCTGTGTGCTGATGACAAAACAGCCTCAAGTAGTACTCTCTATTCTCTACACCTCAGGCAGTTATTGGTGTGTGCTAATTTACATTCTTCTTGTGGTGAGCCTATATCATGCAATGGTTCAGTCTGAAGCTAGGCGGTGGCTAACGCTAGCTTGTGTGGCTGTGTTGACTCAGTGCTGTTGTTGCAGGAGAACCCGCAGACCTTTGGCCTTCTGGGAGCACGGTTGATGCGGTCCTAGCTCATGCATGACAAGTGATTCTGTAAATACCTGACATCTGCCGTGTGAAATGCTCGTTGTGACCATCTGTCAGGGTTTAAACGTGTTGCAGTCTGTGGCCTTAGAAACCCGCAGCGCAAACGTTTCCATATTGGAGGAGATAAGATGGAAACTCAGGAAACTGTAGATAATGGAGGCCTACGTGCTGGCATGGAGTGTACAAAGAAAAAAGAAAAATGATATGCGTAGCTTGACTCAGCAGCCCTGTGTTTAACCATGACCTTTTTCGAATGTGCAATTTACCAAAATAGACAACTGAACTCCCCTTTCTGTCCGTATTGAGGATAGAAAGTTCTGCTTTGATCGGTTTTCCAGTCCAGCAGTGTCTTGTGACTTGGACCCCCCTGTGGGCCCCCCCTACAAAAGAATACATCTATGATAATGCAATTCATGTAAAATACTAAGGTGCTGTGCTCCTACCTGGGCCAAAGTTAACAGGATTTCTTTTCTTTTTCAGTAATGTAATTTAATAAGTTGGAACTAAGTTACTGAAACAAATGTTGTGACTAAAACAAATCCCAACAAATATTAAGAAATAAAATAAAAACAAAGTTTGGCTGCATAAATAATGTATTTATTACCCCCACACTTCTTTTAATGTTCTGTATCTTGGGCCAAAGTAACAAAAAAACAACAATGTAAAAAAGTAATTGACACAAACTCTGTTACTAAATCAAACACCAATCATGCTATTTTATGTTTTTTTATGCGCAATGACTTTAAATGAACATTTTTTTAATCTCCTTGTTCCTGCATTAAACGGGCCTCTCATTAAATGATTGGCCCCATCAGTAAAATGTGTCTAGAACCGCCACTGCTCTAAAGTGAAGAAGACCTTAACTCCTCTTTCTCCCCCCCCCCCCCAGAGTACCTGACGGAGCTGCGTGAGTACGGCAGTGTGTACTCCAGCTGGGTGGGGTCTGAGGAGGAGCTGCGGCGCCCCCTGGAGGGCGTGGCCGGCTGCGTGACCACGAGCTGCGGAGCGCTGGAGGACCTCGGGGACAACATGAGCCTGGACTTCCTGCCTGTGCTCCGAGAGTACGTCCTCTACCTCGAGTCCATCAAGGTGAGGGAGGGGGAGGGGGTCGTATAGAACCGTTTATTGTGATGTAATCCAATCCTAGTGGCAGACCACGGTATTGCAACATCAAACAAAAGAAACCTGTGGCCTGAATTAACCTTTAGACTTTTAGGATAAAACAAATATAGACAATTCATATTTTTATAAATGTAGTGTTATTAAATAGAAATGATAGTAGATTTTTACTTTTCTCTTGTCTTTATTTGATCCCAGCAACACATATAAAAAATATTACATGAGTACTGTTCATTAAAAAAAAGGAATGTGATTTATAAAACGCATACAATGCCCCTATCCAACTTTTCTTGTACACATACAATTTTGAATGATCAGAATGAATTAAATAAAAACCCACTTTATCAATTGAAAATATGTGAGAAAGCTGTGAGCAGCTCCTCCATTTCCTTTCCCTTGCATCATCAGCACATAGTTGCCTTCTTTAAGCTGATTTGTCTCACTAGAGGAAATAGCATCTGATATTCTGCATGCGTCATATCCTGTATCCACCCAGCTCCTAAATCTTCTCTGTTTAAGATTTGCTTACTATTTTTGTTTGCAGAAATATTACAGTGTCAGTAGACGTCACGCTTACTGTGGTAATAAAACAGTTTCCTGGTTGATTACAGAATGTTTTGAGGAAGCGAGACCAGAGCCAGGCGGAGTACGAGGGCCGACTAGAAGCAGCCATACTTCGCAAACAGGAGGACAGAACGCCAGTAAGCCGCTGCTGACATTTCCTTATGTGACTAGTTTTCCAGAGTTCACGGTATAACTGTATGCGACCATTTGTATTATAACGAAAGGGTGTTTCAGACAGCAATTTTCTTCGGAAAGCAAATGGAAAATGGAAAAAAGGCTGAGTAATCCCTTCAAAATAAAAGCTTTTTTGTCCATACACAATACTAACACCACACAGAAAGGTATTCAGGATTTTAGACTAAACATCTTTCCTTTTCCAACAATCCCCCTTCCTTCCATAACTCCTGCTCCACCCACACCCCTGTGGTTGTAGCCCTGCGACCTGTAGTTTTTTAATAATGTCCTCTGAACGCCCCTGTAGCTCTAGTTCTCTCTCTCTCTCTCCGCAGATGCCGCTGGAGGTGGAGAAGTGCCAGGACAAAGTGGAGTGTTTCAACGCGGACCTGAAGGCCGACTGGGAGCGCTGGCAGAGCAACAAGAGACACGACTTCAAGCAGCTCCTCACCGGCATGGCCGACAGAAACATCAACAGCTATGAAAAGGTACGCAGTCTGAGCGAGAGCACCAGGAAGTGACCTCAACACAATGCAAAAGCAAGGACATTCACACAAGTTTGTATCGTATTGTAATTATTGATCGAGCATTTTTGTAGTTGGAACAGAAACTGATATGTTCTGTATTTAGTGAGAGCTCCAGGGCTCTGTTGTAGACTTTTTGTAGCCTTTTCCACCCATTTTCAACTGTCAGTGGAGAAAATAGTGATTAGCATGGCTGAGTGTTATTATAACATTTTTTATATTGATGCCATTACAATATCTGAGATCCCAAATGTTTTAGATTTCTTTAAACAGGTTTCTATAGAAAATTGAAATTAGCAAATTGGTTGGAATCGTATTAAGCAATATCTGATACAGCACAAATGTCAAACATATATTAGTTCAAGCTTTTTCTGTTAAATATCAAAGAAAATGTCCTGTTTTTGAGCTTTGAAGCCCTGGTTCTGCCAAACAAATAAAAAAACATCCCTATTGGCTAGGGGAAATTGTGCGGGACATTTTCTTATTTAAAAGAGAAGCTCTGTTATTTAAGAAAAATGTTCACAATATTAGAAGGGTTACATTAAGAAGAGTCAAAAAGAATGCTCTGCATGCGTGAAATGCCTCAATAGATCCTTTATCTGACTCAAGATGATATTATGTATGTACCCAACGCTCTGGAAACAATTTGGTTGGTACTTAAGGCAAGGTTGATTTAATTTTTAAACCTATTTCATGCACAGACGTCAGTTCAAGGTGCTGTACACAGTGGAATATAATACACAATTGGACAATACAGTTTACCTGAGTTTGGTATCAGATCCAACAGAGCACTATCAGAGCTGCGGTGAGATATCAGTTGTTTACTTTCTATTTATCCGTGATAGACTCACTGAACACGAAGGCTCTTATCAGAAACACTCTGTACACACTGATACAGTTACTCACACTGGCAGCTGGAAGTTTCCCAGCAGAACACCGTCTGACCTCCTGAAGCAATACATCAGAAACACTTCAATCAATTGCTCAAGGGCACCTAAGACTTGGCAGGCAGTAAAGAAGCTAGATTTATCTCACCAGCCCAAACAGGACCAAATAAGCGACCTTGAGAAAAATGAAGCCTACTGTAATGACACAAACTGCCACCGGTCTCACTTCATCTCCCTCTGTCTCCCCCTCCTCCCCCGTCTCCCCCCTACAGAGCCAGGCAGCGTGGGAGTCGCTCATCACTCTCCTCCAGGACAAACAGACTGAGGACAAAACGAGCGAGACGAACTGAACCTCGAGTTTCTCTCCGTGTCACACACTCTCCCACGCCGAGGAGAAGAGGAGCCGCCGGGCTGCAGGGAGAAACTGCCGGACCCTGACCCTGTTCTCCTGGGGGGGGGGCTTCCACACTCGCAGAGGTCTGACCTGGGAGTGAGGTAACAAACGGTACATTCAAGGACAGCTGGGAAAGAGGAAAGACCTACTATGTACAGACTATTTCCTTTTTGTTCTTTTATTGACTTTTTCTACTTAACTATTTCCAATTAACAGTCGGTTGCCAATGCTTACCTGTGTTTATTTAACTCGTTGTCTCACTGAGGCATTCTCTGTCTGTTTCCCCATTTTCACATTGAGCCAAATGTGAAGGATCACTCTTCAGCGTTGCAGAAATCAGATTAAATGGTAAAACATGAAGTATACAGAGCGTCCCCAAGATTTATTTTTGATGTCAGGTTGTAAAAGCTTCACCTTGTGAAATACTCTCTCATCTCTTTAAGTTTGGTCTATAAATAACAATCAACATCCTTTATTTAAATGGACACATGTTATTTGTATGCATGTTTAAGCCCATCAACTCTTTGTTTTTCAAAGGCATACATTTGATTGTTATAATAAAAATCTAATTGCAGAGATTTATTACAATCTGGCGCATCCAAGATTTTCTACTCGGCCTTTTGTTTGTTTTACAGGCGGAGAAAAAGCAGGAAGTGTAGCAAGATGTGTCAAAGAAAGACAATTTGGGAAAAAAGGCACTGCTTATTCTTGAAAGGGAAACTATAGGGATTATGATTCATCTGTATCCTTACATACATGGACATGAAGCAAAGCCACATTGTGTGTGGTTATCTTATCTCATGTTGAACAGAGAAGTCAGAGAAGGGATTTTGTTGGAGGTCATTTTGTGTTTTTTTGTAGTTGTGAGAGCTGTGCAGCAGCACCACCTGGTGGTTAGGATGATAAGTGTTTCATTCTTTTAAAGGTCCCCTATTATACTGTTTTTCATCAATACATTATAGGTCTCAGATATATACAAAACATATCTCTGAAGTGTTTGGCTCGAAATACAAAGCCATAAACCCCTCTATTTCAGACCTGTTCAAAAAGTGCTGATTCTGTGTCTGTAGCTTTAAATGCAAATGAGCTGCTGCTGGCCACGCCCCTCTGTGAAGTGATTGGGTTAAAAAAAAAAACTTTGCACAACCCAAAAAAACATTGTGACATCACAAAGTGGCCAAAATCTGATCAGCTCATTTTCAGACAGGTTTTTATACAAATGGATCAGGACAAAAAGTGAGCGAATCTTTTTTCCTGAAACTTTCAGAATCTCTTAACAAAGTGCATTTTGCATAATAGGTGACCTTTAAAAGAAAACCGTGTGCTTCTTCTGTTGATGTCATATGTTGGTTTTGTCATGGCCATTTATCTTCATAAATTCATGCTGTGAAGATTTCTCCAAACTCGGTTGAGGATACTAAATGGCACAACAGGCAGACCTATCCAATGAAAAGCACAAAGAGGGACTATAGGTGTAATTTATTCTATTCAAACAAAGGAATACTAATGGGGGTCAACTTTTTTGTAAAACCATTTTCTCAGAACCACCTGCCACAGAGACTCGTTTAGAGAACGTTTTGCATTGGGAACATGATGGGGCTGGATAATGACCTAACAAATGTCTGGAAATGATCAGAAATAACCTTTTGGAGGAGAGTTTAAGACTGTCGACCGACTTCTGTTCAAGTTTCCATTGGTGAATTTCTCAAATGCTGACACTTCTGGCATTCAGAGGAACCAGCAGCACTGAGGCTTCTGGTCAATCTGTGTCGTATTAACACCAGAGGGAAAGATCAAGCAGCACTCAGAGGAGTTTGGGAAATCAGAGCCAGACATTGCAAAAACTGCTTCCTCTGCTTTAAAAACTGTAATGTGGAAATGATGTGCTCTTTGGTTCTGATTGTGAAGAGTGGCTCAGCTCTGACTCATGGGAAACATTTAGTCTTTTTCAGATTCAGCAGCGTCACACTTTGTCTCTTCTCCAAATGTTGCTGATGCCTTAAAATCCACTCTGAGATGTAATATAATACGTCAACGTCTAACATTATTTGCTGAACCTGCTTGACTTAGTCATGATCGTTTATCGCTTCTCCTGAAATTGTTGATCATTTAAATGTCCTTATTTTTCTCTGTCCCCTTTGCTTTACTGCTAGTTCATTACCCTCAACATAAAGTAGTGAAAAAATCCCACCAATGATGACCAGGCCAGGCATCTTCCAAAAACTATTTACAAACACGCCGATTTGAACTTTTTTCCATTTAATTGCACTACAAAAAGTGTATTTTCCCAACACATGTCAATATTTATTCTGTTTTTTAAAGAGATTCATTAGCGTAATATCATTTATTTCAGACTTTAGGTGCTGATTAGAATTTCGGGTCTGTGCCCCTAGAGGTTCCTGTGTTTTTATATATTTTAAATGTCCTTCAGTCAGATCCTCTTTGAATGGCCCTTGTCCTGTTTTAAATGCTGATGTCACATTACTGTCGTCAGTGCAGCAGAGTGTGAGTTCTGTAAGAAGAGAGGAAGTAACTGGCTGCAAAACTAGTTTCACTACTCGGTCAGTTCTCTTTTTATTTGTTCGTTATGTTTCCCCCTCAGTCTTTAAAAAGCATTGAGCATATACTGTTTCCAATTTGACATAATCAGGCAGCAAGATGGGGCGAAGGTCTACGGATGTGCTAAATGTCTGTATTTGTTTCCTTATATTGAAATCCATCGCAAAGAAGTGTTCATAAAAAGAGCCTCTGTCACATAAACTGTAAAAGAAGACCACCATTTGTATCAGCAAACAAATGTTAATTTAAGGTTTATGTTCCTTTTCTACATTTGCAATCCTTGTTGGGTTGATTGTCACATTTTATATGGACATCCACCACAATTTAAGATATTTAAAATGGTTAATCCAGCAGACTAAGTCATTGTTGTTTGATTAGTGACTGCTAGAATTCAGGAAGGACAGTGCATCCCTATCAGGCACAGTTTTGACTACTATGAAGCAATTTGTGTTTGTATCATAAGAAACACAGCGTTTTGGTCAGAAGAAATAAAAGTGATCTTAGATTTGAACACTTAGAACCTTTTGATTTGATTGTTTTATCAAATGATGGCATCGGTGCTTTTTTTACTCTCCTGCTGTCTGGTGTAGATGAAGTGACCGAGCAGGAACACTTTTGGGATCATTCAGAATGGATTATTATTTGTTTTGCTCTTATCGCAATATACTGTATACAGATAATAATATACCCCGATGTTAAGCTGAATTATATGGTACAGCTGAGTCTATTTTTGTATAAAAGAAGCAGGTGATCATTGTTGGGTTTTTAATGAGCATATGAATAACACAAGGGATTATTGGAGATTTGTACATTTTGCATAACTGGAATATAAAAGAGGCATTTTTTATTTATTTTGATGCTCATTGGAACCCCAACGATAGTAATCTGATCCATGATGATAATCTGATAACCTGTTCTAACTCATAGTCATTGTAAATGTCCCATCTTATACTGTGTGCCTGCTGAACCTTTGCACTATATATGTTGTTCCGACCCATGACGGATGTCTGCTAAAAACACATTTAAGCAAAAAAACGAAATTATTTTTCATTCAGTTGCCAAAAAAAGAAAATGCATACTCAGCTAGGTTTTAGGGACGATGATAGCTGACACATCCTGTGAAGAGTGGGGAGACACCATTTTGTTTTTTCTTTCATTTATAATCCAATGTTTCCAAGCCAAATGTCCCTGTTTTCTCATCCTGTTTTAGAACCACACATGAATGGAAAACCTGATCCATCTCACCTGTATGAAAGGTTGAAAATCAGCGTCTTATGAACGTGTGAATCTATCTTTGGTTTCCTCCCGAGTGTGTACTGTTTACGTTCAGCCCTGCATTTGAATGTTAATAATATCCTGTTGTAATTATAAATAAGCTTGTATATTGATGTCGTTTTGATGCAATTTATCTTTACCTCAAATGATTGTTTTGGATATATTGGACCAACAATAAAAAAGAAAGAATGCGTTTGATACTCGACTGCTCCGGTTTCTTTTTCTTTTGTCTTTTGTAATATTCACTTTGATCTCAAAAAACTAAATGTATTGTAAATGCACACAAATAAAACTGAATCATAGAAATGACAAAATATAGCATACCTAAAATAGTCATAGTGAAGTAGTGAAGTTTTAATCATAAAAGGTTGTTGTAAGTGATAAAAATATAAAAGTCATAGTAAAATATGTTATTAAAAATACAAAAGGTCATACTATATTGTGTCTTAAAGAAGATTTTAACGTCAAACTATAGCATATCAAAATAAATATAGTGTAAACATAGTATAGTATTTCGACAAAATCTGAAAAAAACAAACATAGTATAATTATCTTTAACTTTAAAGAAACAACATAATATACTATGTTGAAAAATATCATATAAAACAAGTGTGGTTTGTAGAAAAAACGTCATAGTACAGTATGTTGAAAAAAAGTATAGTAAGTCTATCAGAAAAAGCGACATACTAGTGTTAAAAAAGTAGGACAAAAAGCATCGTATGTGAATTTCACAACAGTTGGTTCCATATCAACAAATCACATTAAAAACTTCAGATAAACCTTTGACATTGTTATCAAAAACAAAATACCGTACCAGAGTTGCAGCTTTAAGTTTCATCAGTGCAAATCCCAACATGAGCTGTACCTTGGCTGTAATAAACTTATTTCAAGTTATTGACAGGAGCCTTTGTGTGTTTGTGCCTTGTTAAGTGTAAACAATTAATAGTGCAATCATACAATAATGCATAACATAACAAAATTATGCAGGCTGCAGGTTCTTTCCTTTAATCCAACACAAGTAAAATAAAGCACAATTACAGGACACACATACACAGACTTGCGTGGCTATTAAAAAACACATTTCTAAATTTGATATTTTTCTAACCCTAACCCTAACCTCACAGCAGTAGAAACAATAACCCTAAAAGTGCAAATACTTTTAAATTATTATCTTTTTAAAATGCATTTCTATTGTTGAAGATCTGTAAACCATCCAGTTCATGAATCTACAATTCAGCAACAGAGTCAACGGAGGATACGTTACACCAAAACACAATGTCATTAATAGTAAAAAAAACATCAATTATTTATTCTGCATTATCTGTAAACCTGGTCCGAAATCTATTGCCTCCAATAAACTGTTAGTCACCATGGTAACATACTTTCTATTGACAGCGGCTATTTCGCACAATTATAATGTATATTCAATCTAAATCCATCATGTGTCTATACTTCTATATATTCCTGTAGCCTAGTGGGACTGTATATTGTAGAGTACTCCATTTATTCAATATTTCGTTACATTGTGTAATATTTAGATACTCTAGGGATATGTCTTTTCTATTGTGAATTTGTAAACTTGCTGCTAGTGTTAATTAAACATATCTATTTATCTAATCATCTATCTATTTACGGCTACATTTGATCCAGTTTCAGCCGGTTTACAAGAAGACATGTCCCTATACATGTCAGTCATTCTTTGCTCACACTCCTTTAGGACACATTCAATGATATATTTACATTGTGGTAAAATCCCCTTGTTGGAGTT